ACCCTTACTTGGTGATAACCCGACCTCAAATCAATCTTTCAAAACACTACTGCTCCTTTCAGCTGATCAAACAAATCATCTATGCGAGGTAACGGGTATTTATTCTTCACTGTCACTTTATTTAACTCTCTGTAATCTATACACATCCATAGCGATCCATCTTTCTTTTTCACAAAAAAAATTGGAGCGCCCTAGGGAGAATGGCTAGGTCGAATAAAACCCTTGTCTAAGAGTTCCTGAAGCTGCTTTTTCAATTCCTGAAGCTCGGATAGGGCCATCTGGTAAGGGGTTTTAGAAATTGGTGCGGTCCTTAGTGCCAGTTTAATACTAAATTCTACTTCTCTTTCCGGAGGTAAACCCGGCAAATTTTCCGAAAATACATATAAAAACTCCCGAACTATTGGCACCTTCTGAATCTCTGGTTGTGGGACATCACTACTGTGCACTATATGAGCAATATACCCTGAGCACCCTTTTCTTAACATCTTTCTGGCCTTTACACTATTGATTAACATACTAAGCTGGTGACCCTCGCCAAAATTAAACTTATCTCGATCATCAAGATTAAATCTTACTTTTTTTTTTCGACAATCAATCTCTACTCCAAATCTCCACAGGAAATCCATGCCTAAAATAACGTCAAAATCAGGCATATCAAACACTATCAAATCCATTGGCAACTCCCTTCCATGGATCACTACGGACTTCCCTGGAAGCATCTCTTAAGTTATTACACTAACACCATCTGGTAACTCTATCTTAATGGAACAATCCACACTAATAGGTTTTAAACCTAATCTCTCTAAAATCCCATGTGTAATAAATGAATGTGTGGCTCCATAATCAATTAATGCATAAAGGGGAACTGAATGAAATAATAACTAACCAGTAACTGCGGATGGGCTACCTTCAGCTTCACTCTGGTCTACTGTAAACACTCGAGCATTGGTACCTCTAGGTGTCTATGCTGCGGGTGCAGAAGAGGCTTTACAATCTTTCATCATATGCCCTGGTTGCCGGCATCTATAGCATACATTTCGACCCAAATCTCTAAGACACTCCCTATAATGATTTCTTCCACACTTCTGGCACTGGGAACTTCACTGGTTCTCGGTTTCTTATTTTGCCAATCTCTCCTGTTCTTCTTGGGTTGAAATTTTTTCTTATTTCTCACATCTCTATTAGGGGGGGCATCAACTCTATCTCTCTGTGGAGCAGAAGGTGGAACAGTGGGGGCTACTAGTGATGGAGTTGCCAAGGTTAGCTCAATATTTCTGCCTGTAAAGCTCGTTCCAAAGCTTCACTATATTTTTGAGGTGGCTGGGCATTGGCCATCACATCTCGGGCTATTTCTGGTTTCAGCCCATGCACGAACTTATCTCTCCTCAACTCTGGTGTACTCACTACACCTGGCACAAACCTTGCCAGGGAATTGAATTTCATTGAATATTCTTTCACTGAATTAGCCCCCTGTTACAAATTAATAAACTCTTGAATCTTTTCATGGACTCGACCAACTGTTCTATATTCTGCCTCAAACAATCTTCTGAAATCTCCCCAGGTCATCAAAGTTGTATCATGAGTATCCTCCATCAATTCCCACCATATACGGGCATCACCCTTAAATTAAAAACTAGCATACTGAATCTTCTCCCGGTCTATCATAGGGAAAAGTACGATCGTACGCTCTACTGATCTAAACCGCTCATCTGCCACTATTGGGTCCATAGTACCCCTAAATTCTGACGGCTGGTGTTGACTAGGCAACCTATATATCAGCTTAATACGATTCTACATTACTGGGGGTACCGGCCTCTCTTTCTCCTCTCTGGAGGTCAGTACAATAACCAGGGTCTCAACTCTCTCCGGTACGGAGCCTCCCTGATTTTCTGCCAAGACTTGCTGTATAATATTACGAATCCTCGCTTTATCGAGGACAGGGGAGTAGATTTTGGAGGGTTAGAAGGTTCACCCATGCTCATTTCCTCCCTACTACTTCCTCGGGTTCTACATCTCATCTACATAAACCAACACTTTTGGTCAACTCAATCAACTCATCGACAACAAGTAAGGAAAGAAATAACTTACAGTGGTCGGCTACAGAACATCAACGTGGCAAGAGAGGCACACTGTCAAATCCCAAAACCTTTGCTCTGATACCAAAAATGTAATGATTTCTTTCTAGCTAGTATACTCGTAAAATAATTAATAAAACTCATTAGAAACATATATAAGAAAATACACATATATACAAGTAATAAAGTATGGGCCCATATTTAATTTTTCTTTATGCACAAATATTTACAAAATATACTCAAAAATAGCAACTTGACAGTGTAGCCCAACCCTTCCACTGCACGATGTTCCAAGTGATTGCAACTCACCTATTACCTGCAAAAACATTGAAAACAACGGAGTGAACACTAATCACTCAGTAAGTAAACCCGCTATGCTACCCTTCTCTCTCCGTTGCTTAAGTTTTGAATTTTCTTTCCTTACATCACATTTCCCGATTATTCTCTATTCTTTCTCTGTTCTTTCTCTATTCTTTCTCATTCTTTCTTTGTTTTTCTCTCAGTTTTCTAATTTTTTTACTACTCATGATAATGAGCATGGTATTATGCATATTCATGATGCAAATGCACAAATGCATAAAGTATGCATTTTCTTTTCTATTTTTTCTTATTCTATTTTCTGTTCCTTTTTCTTTATTTCTTTCTTTCTTTTCTAGTCTTTCTTTCTAATCTATTTTTTCTTTCTTTTCTATTTTTTCTTTCTTTCTATTCTTTCTTTTCTTGCCGATCAGACTCGGTTGAGGCATGGATTTGGAGCCTTGGCCATGTGAGTGAAGTCTCTAATTCTGGGTACAGTCCTCATCCACACACATTTCTAACAAACTATACAATTCTTCTTTTTGAATTCTGAAGCCGCTCACTAAAGGTGGCATGCATGTGGGACTATGTCACTCATGGGCTCCCCATCGCAACAACCTTCTCTTCTTTTTATCTTTTTACGCTTCTTTAACTAAAAACTTCAGATTTGAATATCTTATTATTCTCATTTCTTTCTATTTTCTCTTTAACATATTTTATGGCTTTTTTCATGCTCTTATGAATATGTATGCATGTAGATGGTTTCATGCTTATAATTCTTTCTAAATGCAAGGATGCCATGTAGCATAAAAATAAGTTTCTCTCTACCATCTACAAACTCATATCAATTCATAAATGAATAAAACTCATGCATACACTTCTCTTGGACATTTCATCAAACATATTGCATGCATAATCAAACTCTAATTTGACCACAATTCTATCTCTTTCTCAAGCCACCAATATTTGGAGTAAAACTCCCTTAAACAATTACCAAACCTGTCCAAAACAATACACTCCCAAAAATTCTACTCAACTCTTTCTAACTTCAACCAAACTTCAATTAATCATTATACAACCAAAACCACTTCTCATAGCTAAATTCTATTAATCAATAATCATGAAACTCATCAATAATTCATCAATTTCATCAACAATTCTCAAAATCATAAACATATACATATATGTAAAATCTCTACACACTTGATTTCTCAAATCATAACTTGGGTGAGATTTACTTACCGTTGATATGAGCAATCCAACCCCTTTAAGAATCTTCTTTGATCAAACTCTCTTCTTCTTAAATCCTATGAGCACAAACCATTAAAATCAATAACTTTAAAAATTAAAAATCACTTCTTAGTGCAAGGATCTTACCTAAAGGTGTTTGGGATTGAAAATCCACTTAAAAATACCCAAGATCTATGAATTTCCTTTGAAGAAGAATTGAAAAATTTGAGAGAATATGGAGGTGAAAATGGCGTGCAAATGGGTAAGAGTGGCTAGGGTTTCACTCTTCAATTTGATATAACATAAAAATATATATATATAGTTTCTCATTTTGCCCTTGCACTTTCTTTAAAATTTTATCTATGTCCCTTAGTCAATTACCATAATGCCCTCATTTTTATTGCATTCTCCATGAAATTCTATCTCTTTTCACTCCCCACAATTTCAACTAATTTTGAGTGAAAAGATCATTTTACCCTTAATGTAAGTTTAAGGCATTTTCTTCACATTTTCCTTAAAATAACTTTAGCAAAAATCAACTAAAGGTATAAAAACATAAATTAAATTACGTACCTTCATATGGCGTTACAACCACTAGGAGTTGTAGCAGCATGGGGAGGAAGGGAGAGAATATTATGAGGTGTATTAGAATCTGAGAATGGGAAAGCGGGACTGTTTGAATCTACTATGTTTATGTTAGTAAATTCAGGGGAACTGGGATAATTTTCTTCATCATCGAAATTGATGGTGGGATTATGGAAATATCTCCATTCTAGTTATTAAAAAAAAAAAAAAATTGGATATAAAAGAATTAAAGAAGGAGAATTGAAATTTGGAAATATGAATTGAAAATTGCAAAAAGTAGTAAAAATTAAAATGAGAGCAAATTGACAACTGAGATTTGAGAGATTTTTAGAGTAAGAGCAAATAAAACAATTGAAGAAAATGAGAGAATTTTAGATGTGAGGAAATATGAGGCCCTATTTATAGAGAATAATGAGAAAAGAAAATGATCAAAAAGACATCTTCAATCGCTATAAAACGGTTATATTGAAGGGTAAAATTGGTTTTTGACAAAAAAATTATACATATTTTTTTTTTTTCGTCAACCCATTGGCTGCTAACTGCCAACCCGCTGGGCTTGACAGTTTTTTTTAAGAAAAAACAAACCGTCGGGCGAGCTACTCGAGCCAGGCCTGGGTTAGGGTTGACCCTCCTAACCTAACCCATTTTTTTCCACCTCTAGTTCCATCCTAATTTTTGAAAATATGAATAATGTGATAGAGACAAGTGAAGATATTTGGGTAATTTGTTACAAATTATTTACTTTTTTTTCTTTTCTAAAAAAAATAAAAAAATAAGACGTTACAAAAGCGTTGCACCGAAGAGCAATACTAATATCTCAACAATTTAATTTTCAGCCTGCTTATTAATTTCTTTAAAGTAAAATTTAAAAGTAAAAAAGAAAACGTCTTCAGTAGGCAATGCTTCGTTCTTTCTTTTTACTAACACCAAAAACTATTCAAATGTTGTGATTAGTACTTGATTCAAGTGTCTCTATTTTGTTGAAGAAATTGAAGGTCCTTCATTTGAAGTTTTACAGCTTCTTCTGGTATAGGTGTCGGCTCTGGGAAACTGTTCTCATCGCTGCCTTCGGCTACCTTCCTTGCCTTGTCTTTCACAATTCTCTCTATCTCCGCCTGCTTAACTGATGGGAAAACAGCACTAAGCATAATAATTAGAAGTCTCTCGTCCTCCTCTTCTATGCCTTTCTTCCCGAAGCAACAAACATATACCGCTTCAAGAGCCTTCTCAGCACGAACCTCCATTGGGACACTTGGGGTAGCAGCATTTAATTTAGCTCGTCGCTGTACAGCATTTAAATCAGAATTTAGATCATTATGCGTAGACATTGTCATACTTTTAACTAGTAAGATATTGACAGTTAATGCTGAGATGCTGAAGCCTATAACATTTAGTTTAAATCTAGAAAGTCTTCTAGGTACCAATTAGTATTGAGACTATAACATGGATCAAAATAAAACAAAAGCTTCATGATACAATTTTTTTAATGACAGCCTTTTATGAAACATTTCTACAAGTTTGCATTTCAGATCTAGGCTTTATGAAATAATATGAAGAGATGCTACAAACTAATATTTTTATAGTCAAATACTGGCTTTAAGATACCCCCCAACCAATAGGCTATCCAGTAGGGCTACTACGTTTTCAATCTGAAGCAGCTATATCTGTGAAACTGAATAATCTCCATATTTAGCTTTCAAAAGGTGATCTTTCAATTAAGTAGCTTGTGAGAATGAAAAATAAAATAGCATAGACAGAATGGTTAAGTATCCCGACGACAGTGTGAGAAAGATTTGGTTACAAGAACAAGACTTCCTATATAGCTGGGAGACACCTTTACTAGATAAAGCTGCTAGTACCCCAAAACATGGTTAAAGATATGTTAATCATATAGCAGTAGTTATACTGTTACCTCTTTTAACATCAGTAGAACATAAGATAGAGAAAAGGTGTTCGTTCTCTGGACGGAATATGTATCCAAACAATATACAGACAGAATAAGTTTTTAACAACCAACAGCTACGACTAGCTGTATTTCATCCCCTAGCCAAAACTAGCTACTAGTCCCCCACCTCAGATGTCTTGTTTCTCCAATCTACTTATTCTGAATAGTCAGTGTTAAAAAACTTGTGCACCCTTCCGCCCTGTGTACACTCGCAGTGATATACAGAAATAAAAGAATCATGATGATATGCAGACAAAAATTGTCCTTTCCATGATTCATTGTTATGAGTTTAGTGAAACTCGGACATCCATCTCATGCTATCTACAGGAATGCAGCCAACCAAAAAGAAAGAATAACAATTTGATTGGTTTGGGTAGTGATAGAAAGTCATAAGAAATACTAAATCTTTTTTCACATCAACACAACAAAATTTGGAGTTTCGAGACGCAACTTTCTTAATCCAATTAACACCAGACAAAGCCTATCACTTTGAATCTCTCCCACCAGACATGAGCACAGTGAGTATACAAATGAGTTTTTGAACTAACAAAGTATTAATGTACATTACTTGATGGAGTGCCAGCAAGTGGCTTTTGAACTAAAACTAGTGCTCAGTATTCCTAACTGAAAGAAGATCAAAACTGGGTATCTCATCCAACAAATTTCTTCCAAATAAACTCAATTCAAGCCTATAGTCTTTGACCACAGGAATTAAAAATGTTTGACCAACAATGGATATTAAGTAGGATATAAGAGATTAACCAACCTCTTTGGCCTCATTCATCAAGGCAATGAAGTTCTGCTCTTCAAATTCGAGATCATTCGAAATACGAAGCCTTGCCGCCCCCTCTAAAATGTCCTCAGATTTGAGTAGACCGGCACCAACAGCAGCTACCCAGCAGCACATCAAAACATACAAAGGATCTCCTGCCTACCCAAAACCAAGACCCAACTCGATAACTTAATTTCATATTCCATTTTACTCAATTTACAACCAATTAACCAGAAATAAAAAAATAAAAAACTATCAAACATATATAACCAAAAAGAAAAAGAAAAAGAAAGAAAACTTAAAGCACAAGTACCCGTCCACGCCGTTCTTGGAAGTCATAGAAAGCTTTAGAATCATTGATGCCACATTTATTCCCAACCCTTCTTCGAAACTCAGCAAAATCAATAGTATCACTTCCAACACCACCTTCATCACTGAGAATTCTAGCTACAAGGCCAATAAGCGGCAGTGAACCAATGACTTTGTTTACAAAACCAGAGATAGAGTTCTGGTTCTCGTGGTAGGCTTTTATAGATAAGGCCCCATAAGAGGAGGAATTCGCAACTTTATTCGACGTGGGGTTGGTTTGAATGGGGCGGAAAACATGAAGCGAAGATGAAATTTGATTGCAAGAAGATAGACTCGTTAAGCTTAAGGATGTCACAACCATGGTGGTTGTGAAAATATTGGAAGTTAATTTCGTTGGTTTTTGTAATTAAGTTTTCATTTTTGGCCTCTCGTTTATATACGTTATCCAGTGAAGTGAGTTTGTGTTTTGATCAAACATTCATCTATACCAATGTAATTTGGGCTCATTCAAAGAAATTGAATTTGGGCCAATCTCATGCCAAACCCAACAATGCAAATACAATACTCAATTTGGACTACATCCATTTAGTACCCCTGAGTTATCCGATAATAAATCTTCTCCTTGTGGCATCCGAATTATCTAACCACCTCTCCTGCCGTTATTTTTTCCGTCAAAACTAACATTTGACCAATTTTGACCATTAAGTAACAACATCACCCTTAAAAATAAGTTTTTTAATTAAAAGAGCAAAAACGCATAATAAATTTTAGAAAAATTAACCAGAAATCTATCAAGCTAAAAAAATTTCTCAAATTTATCTTTTTTGGTTTTTTAAATTGCTTTCAATTTTCTGANCCCAACTCATTCATGTTAAGATTATAATACTGTCAACGTGCTTATAATTTATTGGACCAACTGGTATCCCTCCTTTACTGTTTAGAGGAAAATGGTAATTTCAACTCTTAACATTCTCATTTCATCATCTTAATTCCAATGAAATCCACAATGTGCGTCTAATCTTGTTACTCATTCTAAAACAAATGTATTTCTGCTAATGATTGATCCATCACCGACAATGTGTGCACCACGCGGACTACCAACCTTCAAGTAATCCAGATAGCCAAAAAAGCAGGTCAACTTATTCCCATTTTTGGGAGTTTCATAACCTTTCAACTATCTCTTTCGCTGTTGCCTGTACGTTTCATTTTAAACCATTCATCTTTCTTCCGTTTCATGTCCTTTCTTCCCTCCAAATTTATAAGAATTTACCACCGAAAAATAATAGAGTTACTGAAAAGTTTACATTGAATTTATACATCGAACGACGTAAAAAAATCTTGACCATTAATTAATATTAATTGATAATAAATCAACGATTAAGATTATATCATATTATTCGATATACAAATTCGATACATCTACCGGTAACTGTAACATTACTCATTATCACCGCGAAACGCACGACTCCTGATTGCGCCGCAGTGCATTCCACGTCCATAAACTCGCGCGTGGTTAGCCAGTCACTTTTTTGGCGGCATCACTTCACCACTACTCCTCCAAAATCACTGTATATATAACCGCTTCTTTCCCTCTCTCATTTTCTACATATTACACGTTAACCACACCCTTTTTTCAGTTCAAATTTTCAAAACCCTAGGCCATACCTTGTGAGTACCAATTTTTAAATCTACTTTTCTTTTTTTCCTTTTTTTCCTTGGAAGTTCATTCTCTCTATTTTTGTTGTTCTCTTAGTGTTCAGAGTTTCACCAAGTTAACAATGGGAACTTATTCGGACGACCAGCTCTCTCACCTACAAACTTTGGAGCCTTTGTATGACCGACGATTCTCAAAACATGTTCACGATAATGTCCACGGCAACATCTATCTGGATAAGGTAATAGCTTCTTCTACATTACTTTTGCTGTTTTTTTGAATTGTTTGTTGATTTGATTCTATAATATTTTATTTCTTTTTATGTTTGTTTTTGTAATTTGATGTGGCTACCTGATTGAAACGTTTAATTGAATTGCAAATTTTGTTTTAATTAGTTTTTGAACTTTGAAGAATTATTCACCCGGTATTTCATTATGAATTTGAATCAAGTAGAAGTGAATTTGAATTTGAGTTTGAGTTTGAATTTTTATTTTCTTTTTCTGGATCCATAATTTATTTATATTAATTTTAAAATGGAGATATGACCTTAGAAGTTGATAAGCATGAAGAAAAACTTTAAAAGGAGAGAAAGGAAAAAAACATGTACGTCAGAATGATGTACAGTTCACAATATAATTATAGTTTTTCGTCATTGTCGTTGCCGTGCGGTCCTGGAAAATGCTGAGTGGTCATTAACTGTGTATGATGTATCATGTCACTTACAGTGCCTTGCACGCATTTCATTGTTGTACAATTATGTTGCTATTTTTTAAACTTAATTAGTACTTTTCTCTAAATGCAGCTGTCTTTGAAGTTTATTGATACTGAACAATTTCAGAGGCAAGATACTCGAATGATTTGAAAGGATTTCTATTTGTCTTCCTTTCAATTGTGTATTAAGACTGTCTTCTGATAATCTTTTATTATATGTTACAGACTTCGCGATCTAAAACAACTTGGTGAGTAGTGACCTTTTCTTGACTTAACTACTAAGAAATTTGTCGTTAAATATGGTTCAACCTGGTGAGTATTGAAGTCCTCGTAATAGTTTATTGAAATTGTAGAAAATTTTATCTCATGATCTGGTGATACTTTATAGAAATTTCTATAGAATTAAAGGTTTATCAAATTTATGACTGCTAAATTTGCTTTTGTCCCTGCATTATTTATGGCACAATAGAGAACTTTGGTTTATTTTGCATCATTGGTGAATTCCAATATGGTGGGATATACATTTATGTTATATGCTTCTGTTAACGGTTACCATAACTAATTTCTGTGATATGAAGATTTTGACTTTGTTAGTATGGTGGTTTTTTGACAGCCGAGATAGAAGTAATTGAGTTCAGCATGCTGAATAAATGTGTAATAATATGACTAGTCAATTGAAGAGTGCTCCATATATAATACTTTATATTTTCTTTATATGGACATGGTGCTTCCAAGTGCAGTTCTCCCTGTGGGCTCAAAATTGTTGCGAAACTTAAAGTTTCTCTTGTGCAGGTCTAGCATACTTGGTTTACCCAGGAGCTGTACATTCTCGGTTCGAACATTCACTAGGGGTTTATTGGCTGGCTGGCGCTGCTATTCGGACAATTAAAGCTTTCCAAGTAAGAACTTCTCTTTCTGTCTGGTTATCCTCATTCTGGCAATCACATGGAAATCTTTCTTTACATGCATGCCATCCTTGTAGGGCTCTGAGCTTGATATTGATCGTGCTGATATACAGACTGTGAAACTTGCTGGTAATGAATTGTGTTCGTCAGCAGATTTTCTTTGTCTTTTAGTCGTTAGTTTGAATCTGTCTTATTCTTTTGTTTACTTTCTATGCAGGACTACTACATGATATTGGCCATGGGCCATTTAGTCACATGTTTGAGCGCGAGTTTCTTCCCCGGGTTCTTAATGGATCCAACTGGTGATTTACTTTCTTCAGTAGATTGCATGTTTTGTCCTCTCCCAGAATAGACAACCATAGCATAATTCGTTTTACCTTTTCCAATGCTATTAATGGAGTCAGTGGATAGAGTAACAATGGTGACAACTGTCAAATAAAGATGTTGGAATTATAGCCTTTTTTAATAAGTATGATTTCAATTTTGAATTACTGCTTATTTATTGAAGTATATATTAGGTGACTCAGTGATCATATGTAATATTTCTGTTCATTAACAAGGAAAAGTGGAGTTAACAAAATGCTCCTCCTGTGCATGCTAAGATTTTAAATTCGCTCAGTATGTAAGTATAGATGACTGCTTTTTGAATATTCATTAGAATGCCATCTTAGAACTCTATATTTCATATAGATACATGTTTATCAAATTTTTATATCACAAAGTGCTCTCTACTTTAACAATATGTATTCAATATAATTTACATTAGTTATATTTTAACAATGTTTTTGAAGACATTTCTATGGTAGAGAAGAAATAATATAATTTGATTTCCCGTTAGGTGTTACATAATAAAGTGCAACTCTTCCCTACCTTCCAGTGGTATTAGTTAGGCTGATGAAACATAATATTCTTTTCAATTTTGAGGTGACCTTGTGAAAATTGATATAGGTCTCTTGTAGTCAGAGATTTAATACATTGTTTTTGGGTAATTAATCTAATTAAATATTTTCAGGTCTCACGAGGACATGTCTACAAAGATGATAGATTACATTGTTGATGAGCACAATATTGAGATTGATTCTGAAAGCCTCAACAGAGTAAAGGTTACATTACTTAACCTTCTATTTTCTTCTTTCACTTTCCTCGTGATAACCTCATGTTCATAAGCACCCCTCTATTGGAGTTCCATCATGATACAGAAGATGAAACTTGCAGAATTTTATGCAATGTGTTCAGCTATTGATGGTAGGAGCATGTTGCTCCAAGACCACCTACTTGGCAACCAGTCTTATTTGAATGAATTTCTTCTCTTTATTGCATCCTATCCCATCATCCCCTGAGACACGGCCAATTTATGTTTTTGTATGTTTGTCAAAATGTTGGTATCCTGTCTTGTTTGCATCTTTTGGTTACCATATTCACTCTTGACTTCTTAAAGTTTCTTTATCCGATCATTCTAAGTATACATGAGTAAAAATTTACATGTAGAAATATGGGCCCTGATATATTTTTGATTTCTTGACAGGAAATGATCATTGCTAGCCATGCTTCAGATAGAGTAAGTCATCTAATGGTCCAACCTTTTTAACTTGGCTTTTTCTCACTATAAATTAGAAAACTCTGAACCTAACATTATGTTAGTAGTTCTAAATTCATATTCTTTGATGTATGTAGAGTACAAAGGAAAAGCAGTTTTTATATGACATTGTTGCAAATGGTCGAAATGGAATAGATGTAGACAAGTGAGTCAACTAATTTTTCTCATCTCTTTCCGAGTAATTTTTAAATTGATCCATATGGTTTTGACCATGGTTTTAAAACCCGGCTCAACCCGGCCGGTTGAACCGGTTTGATCGGGAACCAATGGTTAGACCGGGTCGGTTCATATAAAAAACCGGAATTAGCATTTGACCCACTTCCACCTGCGGTTGGACCGGTTTTTTTGCGACAAACCACTGGTCGAATCGGTATAAACTAGGTCTGCTACAGTGAAATATAAAAAAATAATTGAAAATTTTTTATTATCATTGTTAAAAATTAAAATCTGTATTTTTTTTTAATTTTTTTTTTGTTTTTTGTTGACGTCATGGTCCGACCTGTCGGTCGGACCGTTCAACCCTTCAAACCCGTGACCCAGTGGCTTGGCCGAGTTGTCCCTGGGTCGGGTTTTAAAACCTTGTTTTGACTACAGAGAGTCATTGCACTTTATTTGTCTGTAGGTTTGATTACATTGTTCGTGATTCCCGGGCTTGTGGTCTTGGCTGCAATTTTCAGTTTGAAAGGTATGTGTCAATTTCTTTGGAGGTTTAGCCTTATGGCAGATACATGATAATGCTCATCCTTCTGTTTAAGTTCAAATTATTGCGATGTGTGTGAATGTCCAGAGGTTGAAAGCGAGCTTTTTGATTTATTATCTACACTATATAAAATCTTTTTTTTTTTTTTTTTCTGTTTTTCTTTTTCTCAATTGGCAGGTTAATGGAAACAATGCGAGTTATGGGTGATGAGATATGTTACCGAGCCAAGGATTGTTAGTATAATTGAAATTTTTTTTATCTATTTTAAGAGAGGTAGTGTCTTATGTTACTTAAAATTTGATATTCTGGTCAGATCTTACTGTTCACAAGTTATTTGCCACACGTGCTGATTTACATCGGACAGTCTATACACATGCAAAAGTAAAGGTACCTATTTTCAATTGATTTGTCTTGTCTATCACTTGTAGTGATGACATGAATGTCAATCCTTTATTAATATGCATTTGAATGGTAATATGTTGGACCGTATTTCTGTTTTCAGGCAGTAGAACTTATGCTTGTTGATGCTCTTTCAGAAGCAAATCAATATCTTGACATTTCGTCCTCAATTCAACAGCCATCTGAATTTTGGAAGGTTTAGCATGATAATTTATGATTTCTTGATACTGATTGTATGTTTGTGGCACTAAACTATTCTTCTCAAAAGTACAGTTAGATGACTCCATAGTGAAAACCATTTTGACTGATCCCCGGCAAGAGCTCAAGAAAGCAAGAGATTTAATCCTTCGTATTCGGAGAAGGGAAATATACCAGGTATCTTAGCATTATTGTCGGGACAGTGAATGATTAGCTTTGTTTACTCTTTCATCTGTGTCAATAATGAAATTAATTTATTTCTTTGAAGCTTTTCAGCATGCTGTAACTTATAAGTGCGGTATAATCATAGCAAGTTATTATGTTTTTTCAGTTCTGCAATGAATTTTCAGTTCCAAAGGCCAAGCTAGAGCATTTCAAAGACATCACTCCACAAGATATTGTTTGTTCTCAGGTCTAGACATACTCTGTATATTTATAGTGTATATTTATAGACTAATGCTATAGACACTGAATTTGTGCACTGAATTTTTTTACCGAACAACATTGCATCCACTAAGACGCGGCCATGTTGGACAAAAAATACTGATTCCATGAATGGACGGCCGTCCATCTTGTACGGATGGTTGTCCATACGTTATGGACGATCGTTCACCACGAATGAACGATCATTCATGACAATATCAATGGATTTATCCATATAATATGGACGGGTATTCATATAAGATGGACGTCCGTCCAAAAAAGTTTAAAAACTAATAATGGATGGGCATCCATATACAATGGATAGCCGTCCGTGTAAGATGGACGATTGTCCATACCCAAATTCTAGTTTAATAAAAAAATTTCTTTAAAAAATTCTATATTGTGAATACTTTTTATCTATCTCTCTTGCTTTGCATTTCTTTTATAAATGAAAAAAAAATTGTAAATTTAAAAAAAAAAAAATTATTTGAGTATGGACGCCAGTCTATCTCATTTTTACAATGGATGGCCATCCTCATTAGATGGATTGACGTCCATGCTTTTTACTTTAAAAATCTTTTTTTTTTTTTCCCGTTATTTCATCTAAAAGTTTTGTGCTTTAAAAATGAATATTTCATCTAAAAATTTTGACTTAGACAAGCGATAATTTTTTTATAAATGAAAAAGAAATTATAAATTTAAAAAAAAAAATTATTTGAGATGGACGGTCGTCCATAATAAAGGGGCTCCCGTCCATAATGTATGGACTGGAGTCCATTAATATTTTTTGGACTCTCGTTCATTTATGATGAACGGTCATCCATAAGATATGAACGGGTATCTATAATTGTTGAGCGGTCGTTCATTCATTGAATATCTATTTTGTGTCCTACGTAGCCACATTCGAGTCAGATGCCAAATAGATTGGTGCAAAATTTCGGTATCTGCATTGGATGTCCATAGCATTTTTTATATTTATATATTTATCGCACCATGATGGACTCGTGGTATCTCAAAGAGTAATTTGTCAATCAGAAAGCTGGTGGTGTTTCACTAAAAGAAGAAGATGTTGCTGTGAGCAATGTTAGGATTGATTTGACTCGCGGAAAGAACAACCCCCTTGAAAGGTACATGAGAAAGACACAAACAGTAATCTTGATGGAGGCCTAGTCTTTTTCCTGAACCTTTTGATTGATATGCTGCTCTGCTAATAGATTTTGATTGTGATCTCTCCTTTGTGCATGTATATTCCCATGCAGCATTAATTTTTTCAAGGTACAAATTCAGTTCCTCTCTGCATTATATTCTGCTTGCATAGGACAGCTTAACTGTTTAGTGAATTTTATAATAAAGTCAGCGAACTTTAACTGTAAGGACTTCCAGGAGTTCTGTTTATTTTTACTTTAAAAAATTCGTTACTTGAACCTGATCACAGTGCAATGACTGCTGCAAATAATATTCTTCAATGAATCAGACAAGTAACTGGAGCCTTTTTTCCAAATTGTAGTCGCTAGCTCCTAGCTGTTTTTTTTTATTTTTTTTGCCGGATAGAAGGGGTGAATTCTGTAAGACAACCTTAATAACAGAGTTTGACAAATGTATGTGAGCTAGCGCTATTAGAAACTAATTTAACAGGTTAAATTTGTGTCATTAAATCCCCCTTGAATCTGAAATAAAATAGAGGAGAAATATTAGTTGCAGTTTTGAGATTTAATTAGCTTTTGTTTTATCAGGATTATGATTGCGATGAGAAGTTTCCCATTCGGGATGATCACATCAGTCATTTGCTGCCTGCATGCTGCCAAGATACTATTGTGAGGGTGTACTCTAAAAAGCCCGAACTGGTTTGTGAAAAATTATTATCTAAATTAATATTGTTATGTTAACAATTTACTTGGCGTTATTAAATATTCCCGTGAATGAACAAATTTTTTTCATCCATACAGGTGGGAGCAATTTCTGAGGCCTTCGAGAATTTCCAGGTAAAAATGTTTGGTAAGACAGCACAGGTGTATGCTACTCCTGAGAAGAAGAAACGCCGACTATAATTGCTGCAATTCTTCGTCTTACCTTGCCCAATATATAAATACGTACAAACACTATACATATTCATATAGAACCATTGACTGTCAAAGAAAAAAAGAAAACTACAGAATTGTATAAATCCATATATGTTAACATGCATATGACTGCTATGGGCGTGTGGAGTAATCCGTATATCATCATTCTGCATCCAAAACTTTGATGCCTGGCTTATTTTTAATTCTTCTCTAAACCTGTAGTTGTTGTCTGGTTATGTCAATTGTGAGTATGGCTTTTATTAAAACATTTTTTTCTTGGCCTTAACATACAAAAGGCAACTCTGCCAAAAAAAACAAAGAGCAGCTATTGTTTGTGACATACTAGAACCTGCATGTAATTCAATATTTTACCAAAATATTATCATAAATCATAAAACGCATGGTCAGACAAATTATTTTGTGTTCTTTCGAAATAAATTGTTGACCCAAAGCAAAAGACCTGATACGTACATCGATCAAATTCCTAAGTTTATTTTTATCAGAATATTATTCAGTTTATACTTTTCGGTGCAAAATTCATAGTTGGATTAGTGATTGACCGACAACCTGGCTTCAATGCTTTATGGAAATAATTTACGTTACGTTTTATCTAACTTTATTCTATTTTGGGGTTACAATTTCATGAACTTTGAAGCGTACTTTTACATTATATTTCAATGAAAGTTTTCTCTACAAAATAATAATAATAATAATAATAAAAGTGTTACCTGGAAAATATATATATTTTCTATTTACATAACATACTATTTCTCTGAAATAAATTGTAAATGATCTTTTAAATGTTTTTAATTTCTTACAAGTGTTTTTTTGATGAACATATATATATATATATATATATATATATAGTACGTAAGGGAATTCAAATATTGACTAGTCAACTCAATCCAACCTTTGACCTAATTTATATAACAGTTAAAACGCTTTTCACAAGTCAATTAAATATAATTTATCTAGAATCGTAGTAAGAATTTTATCAGTATTACTTTATACAATATCCTTTTGATTTTTTTCTGAAGTTACTGCAATATCTACTGAATAGGATTAATATAAATATAATCAACGATTGGCTCAAGTCTAAGAGTCAAAACTTTTAGCAGAAATCAAATTTCAGTTTAACGCGGAAACAGATACCTTATTGCCCAAGCATCTAAACCTATCAGACAAACGAAAACAAAAACAAAAACGACCGCTGCCAAGAACAAAGAGCTTGCTGAAAGAGATGAATGAAAGAAGTAAAGAGAGGTCAGCGAGCATGGAGAATATTGATCTGAAGAAGATGGATGAACAGCTTTCAAGACTTTTTAACCGAGCACCATGGAAAGCACAGAAAAATATTGATATTTTGGAAGAATTCGGAGGGAAGGAGAGTGCCAAAGAAGAGTGGGAAATCGATCCCCGTAAACTTATCATAGAAGAAGTGATTGGTCGAGGTGCCTATGGTTCTGTCCATAGAGGGCTCTACAATGGCCAAGAAGTTGCAGGTACGTAATCATTTAGAACGTAATATATAAATTTAGAAAAGACAGAAAGAATCCGTTTAAGAATATTTTGGAAGGCATTCTTGCATGAGACCACGAAAATTACTTGGAGTAAAGCAGGCTGATATATAAGTTTGATATGCATATTACATATTCAAACTATATAGCGATTGTATGTTTGTGGCACTAAACTATTCTTCTCAAAAGTACAGTTAGATGACTCCATAGTGAAAACCATTTTGACTGATCCCCGGCAAGAGCTCAAGAAAGCAAGAGATTTAATCCTTCGTATTCGGAGAAGGGAAATATACCAGGTATCTTAGGATTATTGTCGGGACAGTGAATGATTAGCTTTGTTTACTCTTTCATCTGTGTCAATAATGAAATTAATTTATTTCTTTGAAGCTTTTCAGCATGCTGTAACTTATAAGTGCGGTATAATCATAGCAAGTTATTATGTTTTTTCAGTTCTGCAATGAATTTTCAGTTCCAAAGGCCAAGCTAGAGCATTTCAAAGACATCACTCCACAAGATATTGTTTGTTCTCAGGTCTAGACATACTCTGTATATTTATAGTGTATATTTATAGACTAATGCTATAGACACTGAATTTCTTTACCGAACGACGTGGCATCCACTAAGACGCGGTCATGTTGGACAAAAAATACTGATTCCGTGAATGGACGGCCGTCCATCTTACACGGATGGTTGTCCATACGTTATGGACGACCGTTCATCATGAATGAACGATCATCCATGACAATATCAATGGATTTATTCATATAATACGGACGGATATTCATATAAGATGGTCGTCCGTCCAAAAAAGTTTAAAAACTAATAATGGATGGGCGTCCATATACAATGAATAGTCGTTCGTGTAAGATGGACGTCTATACCCAAATTCTAGTTCAATAAAAAAATTTCTTTAAAAAATTCTACATTATGAATACTTTTTATCTATCTCTCTTGCTTTGCATTTCTTTTATAAATGAAAAAAAAAAATTGTAAATTTAAAAAAAAAAATTATTTGAGTATAATCGCTAGTCTATCTCATTTTTACAATGGATGACCATCTCATTAGATGGACTAACGTCCATGCTTTTTACTTTAAAAATCTTTTTTTTTTCCCTTTATTTCATCTAAAAGTTTTGTGTTTTAAAAATGAATATTTCATCTAAAAATTTTGACTTAGACAAGCGATAATTTTTTTATAAATGAAAAAGAAATTATAAATTAAATAAAAAAAAATTATTTGAGATGGACGGTCGTCCATTTATGATGAATGGTTGTCCATAATAAAGAGACTCCCGTCTATAATGTATGGACGGGACATTATAGACGGGAGTCCATTGATATTTTTTAGACTCTCGTCCATTTATGATGAACGGTCGTCTATAAGATATGAACGGGCATCTATAATTGTTGGATGGCTGTTCATTCACTGAATACCTGTATTGTGTCCTACGTGGTCACGTTCGAGTCAGATGCCAAATAGATTGGTGCAAAATTTTTTTATATTTATATATTTATCGCACCATGGACTCGTGGTATCTCAAAGAGTAATTTGTCAATCAGAAAGCTGGTGGTGTTTCACTAAAAGAAGAAGATGTTGCTGTGAGCAATGTTAGGATTGATTTGACTCGCGGAAAGAACAACCCCCTTGAAAGGTACATGAGAAAGACACAAACAGTAATCCTGATGGAGGCCTAGTCTTTTTCCTGAACCTTTTGATTGATATGCTGCTCTGCTAATAGATTTTGATTGTGATCTCTCCTTTGTGCATGTATATTCCCATGCAGCATTAATTTTTTCAAGGTACAAATTCACTTCCTCTCTGCATTATATTCTGCTTGCATAGGACAGCTTAACTGTTTAGTGAATTTTATAATAAAGTCAGCGAACTTTAACTGTAAGGACTTCCAGGAGTTCTGTTTATTTTTACTTTAAAAAATTCGTTACTTGAACCTGATCACAGTGCAATGACTGCTGCAAATAATATTCTTCAATGAATCAGACAAGTAACTGGAGCCTTTTTTCCAAATTGTAGTCGCTAGCTCCTAGCTGTTTTTTTTTATTTTTTTTGCCGGATAGAAGGGGTGAATTCTGTAAGACAACCTTAATAACAGAGTTTGACAAATGTATGTGAGCTAGCGCTATTAGAAACTAATTTAACAGGTTAAATTTGTGTCATTAAATCCCCCTTGAATCTGAAATAAAATAGAGGAGAAATATTAGTTGCAGTTTTGAGATTTAATTAGCTTTTGTTTTATCAGGATTATGATTGCGATGAGAAGTTTCCCATTCGGGATGATCACATCAGTCATTTGCTGCCTGCATGCTGCCAAGATACTATTGTGAGGGTGTACTCTAAAAAGCCCGAACTGGTTTGTGAAAAATTATTATCTAAATTAATATTGTTATGTTAACAATTTACTTGGCGTTATTAAATATTCCCGTGAATGAACAAATTTTTTTCATCCATACAGGTGGGAGCAATTTCTGAGGCCTTCGAGAATTTCCAGGTAAAAATGTTTGGTAAGACAGCACAGGTGTATGCTACTCCTGAGAAGAAGAAACGCCGACTATAATTGCTGCAATTCTTCGTCTTACCTTGCCCAATATATAAATACGTACAAACACTATACATATTCATATAGAACCATTGACTGTCAAAGAAAAAAAGAAAACTACAGAATTGTATAAATCCATATATGTTAACATGCATATGACTGCTATGGGCGTGTGGAGTAATCCGTATATCATCATTCTGCATCCAAAACTTTGATGCCTGGCTTATTTTTAATTCTTCTCTAAACCTGTAGTTGTTGTCTGGTTATGTCAATTGTGAGTATGGCTTTTATTAAAACATTTTTTTCTTGGCCTTAACATACAAAAGGCAACTCTGCCAAAAAAAACAAAGAGCAGCTATTGTTTGTGACATACTAGAACCTGCATGTAATTCAATATTTTACCAAAATATTATCATAAATCATAAGACGCATGGTCAGAGAAATTATTTTGTGTTCTTTCGAAATAAATTGTTGACCCAAAGCAAAAGACCTGATACGTACATCGATCAAATTCCTAAGTTTATTTTTATCAGAATATTATTCAGTTTATACTTTTCGGTGCAAAATTCATAGTTGGATTAGTGATTGACCGACAACCTGGCTTCAATGCTTTATGGAAATAATTTACGTTACGTTTTATCTAACTTTATTCTATTTTGGGGTTACAATTTCATGAATCTTTGAAGCGTACTTTTACATTATATTTCAATGAAAGTTTTCTCTACAAAATAATAATAATAATAATAATAAAAGTGTTACCTGGAAAATATATATATTTTCTATTTACATAACATACTATTTCTCTGAAATAAATTGTAAATGATCTTTTAAATGTTTTTAATTTCTTACAAGTGTTTTTTTGATGAACATATATATATATATATATATATATATATAGTACGTAAGGGAATTCAAATATTGACTAGTCAAGTCAATCCAACCTTTGACCTAATTTATATAACAGTTAAAACGCTTTTCACAAGTCAATTAAGAAAGTAAATATAATTTATCTAGAATCCTAGTAAGAATTTTATCAGTATTACTTTATACAATATCCTTTTGATTTTTTTCTGAAGTTACTGCAATATCTACTGAATAGGATTAATATAAATATAATCAACGATTGGCTCAAGTCTAAGAGTCAAAACTTTTAGCAGAAATCAAATTTCAGTTTAACGCGGAAACAGATACCTTATTGCACAAGCATCTAAACCTATCACACAAACGAAAACAAAAACAAAAACGACCCCTGCCAAGAACAAAGAGCTTGTTGAAAGAGATGAATGAAAGAAGTAAAGAGAGGTCAGCGAGCACGGAGAATATTGATCTGAAGAAGATGGATGAACAGCTTTCAAGACTTTTTAACCGAGCACCATGGAAAGCACAGAAAAATATTGATATTTTGGAAGAATTCGGAGGGAAGGAGAGTGCCAAAGAAGAGTGGGAAATCGATCCCCGTAAACTTATCATAGAAGAAGTGATTGGTCGAGGTGCCTATGGTTCTGTCCACAGAGGGCTCTACAATGGCCAAGAAGTTGCAGGTACGTAATCATTTAGAACGTAATATATAAATTTAGAAAAGACAGAAAGAATCCGTTTAAGAATATTTTGGAAGGCATTCTTGCATGAAACCACGAAAATTACTTGGAGTAAAGCAGGCTGATATATAAGTTTGATATGCATATTACATATTCAAACTATATTATTTGTATTAGGGAAGGACATAAAAATGATATAAACATATTTTTCGTGACTGAGATTCCTTTTCCCCCCGCTATTCTCAGTTAAAATTATTGACTGGGGAGAAGAGGTTCCAAGGACAAGAGACAAAATAGCTGCACTGAGGATAGCTTTTAAACAGGAGGTTTCTCTTTGGCATAATCTAAATCATCCAAATATTACAAAGGTATTATAACTTTGTTTCCTCCCAACTTGGAAGGATTTTGTGTTGAGAATTTTATTGATTCGAACGAGTTTTAAACATTTGTATTGATTTTTCTGTCCTGGTCAGTTCATAGGTGCTACGATGGGCTTACTGACCTCTGGAAAACCAAGTTGTTTGTCTTGTGTTGCTGAGTATCTTCCTGGAGGTACTTTGAGGTCTTACTTGATAAAGAACCGAAAAAAGAAGTTGCCTTTCAGGATTGTCATAAAATTGGCTCTAGATCTTGCAAGAGGGTCAGTCTCTATTTCCTTCATCTATGTGATTTAATTTGATTTTCCTTTTTCAATACAATATGAGCTTTTTCATCTCAAAAATGCCTTATGTTGGAGCTAAAACAGCTGAGTATATTTACTTCTACTCTCTTATGTCTTTTTAACAGCTTGAGTTACCTTCACTCCAAAAAGATTGTCCACAGAGATATAAAGGCAGAAAATTTGCTTCTTGACAAGAATCATGCACTTAAGATAACGGACTTTGGAGTTTCTCGTTTTCAAGCTCTAAATCCTAAAGACATGACAGGCAGTACAGGAACCATCGGGTATATGGCTCCAGAGGTATTTATATCAACAAGGATAAGAATTTTTACCTCAATATCTTTTTTCTCTGAACCTTAATAATTAACATCAAATTTTATGTGTCAATGCAGGTTCTAAAAAGTGAACCATACAACAGGAAATGCGATGTGTACAGTTTTGGAATTTGCTTGTGGGAGATTTGTTGTTGTAACAGGCCTTATCATAATATCAACTTCCAATTCACTTTAGCAGCAGCTATTGTCGATCAGGTATATAATTAATTATTTATTCTGACAAGTCTTTACAAAGAGAAAAAGGGTTAACAAAATCTGAATTCGTGGATTGCAGAATTTGAGGCCACAAATACCCAACAGTTGCCCGGAATTTCTAGCACAAGTAATGAGGCGATGCTGGGACGCAGACCCCAAAAAGAGACCAGAGATGGAAGAAGTGGTTTCCATGCTAGAAACCATTGACGTCCACAATCATGAGTATGGCTGCTTCTGCTTTCGGTAGCAGTGAAACCAACCAAGATTGTATTATGATAGTGTAAATAAGTGACTGTGGGAGGAATGCAGCGATTCTTTTTGTTTCATGCTGTAGTTCATTTCCTCTTCCACTAATTAGTTGCGCTTTATATAAATACTATTTAAGATGACTAATTTAGACAACTAAAAAAAATACCACATTTGGCTTTGTGTGTGTGAGTTTCCGTTGACGAAAAGGAAAAAACAAGAGTAATGGGGTGTTCTCATTCACATGAAAACTGACATTCCTTTATCTGCCTGCAAATTTCTTAATGGGCATTAAATTAGAAATTGAATTCAGCGCAGAGATACTTACATGAACCCTCTCTTCGCATCTCCCTAAGGGAGGGTAAAAAATCATAAAGTTAAAACCCTCAGATACATCGGAAATGTTTTAAAACCACCATCACTAGTTATCAGCAGTAATTTTTGCTCCGATAAAGCTGATGAGGCGATTGAGGGTTTCTAACCCAATCAGTATGAACGACCAGTGAGTGTCAGAATAACAGCCTTCATATTTATCCTCATGACAATGCCTGTAGACCGATTTTCCTTTGGACCGATTTTGCAGCTTACTCAGAATTAATCGCCAAAACTTTTTACACATTTCCACAGGAGAGAAGCCAAATAATTGAATCATTTATACAGGCTAAACATTGAGAACACACCAAATCCACCAGCAAAATATGTCAGTGTCAGCCTAGAGCGCCACCTGAAGATGAGGATGATTCCACAATACTACAGCTCTCTCTGGCAAGTTGAAATTCTTTCTCAAGTAAATTCCGTATTTTTACTCTCAAACCCGAGGCCTCTTCAGGTCTAAACCATCGCTTTCCAAACTGAAAAAGAGTTAAACCAAAAGCAACCTCTTTGGGAAATGACTACATAAAGAAAATTTTACCAATCTCAATTATTAGGGGCGAAAAAAGTACCATTGCTAGGTCTTTCTTCTTCAGCCTTTCTGGGGCCTCTTCAATGAAGCGCTCCATAAAGAAAAGTACAAAGAGACCACAATCATAATCATTTTTTTGTTGGGGAACCTGGTTGAAAATATTAATGGAAGGAAATCATTGAGGTAAATTTCGAAACATATATACTCAACTTGTAAATATCAATGTGTAATGCTCATTATTAAAAATCCATCTCGAAGATTCAAATAAGGCCAGCAAGACATTGATAAAATTTCTAGCAAGCACACTAATTTGCTGCAACAAATTTAAAAATCAAGAATAACATCTAATGCATTATAATTCATAATTCATTGTAACACAACACTCAATAACAATTCTATATGAAACTTTGATTTGCAGAAAGGACTAATAGAAACATTATTTAAATTTGCAGCCACACAGATAAAAAGCAAAAAGTTCTGTGACAAAAACAATCAAATAACTTTTGGTATCAGAACATTGAACAGAAAGCATGACCCTTGTCAGCAAGACAGCTTGACAATCAAAACTTTCAATATATTCTGTCTAGGTTAGGCTAAGATTTAGTAACCATGTTTTGTTTGCCATTGAATATGTATGAGTACCATATGAATCACAATAACATTCAAGTAACCACACCATGCAACAACAAAACGTTATGTAATTTACATGAAATTTACCGCAATTATTTTCTCAACAATTCTACGAGGAAGGTGTCTCCATATTCTTTCAGGAATTGGAATATCTGAAGGAGAAGCTTCTTGATTCAAAAAGTTCCATTCTTCTTTAAGATAGCTGGAGAGCACAATTTGCATCATCATTAGCTTTAGAATTACATTAAGAAGGCAATCAAATGGAGATTTGATAACAAGAACTACTATCCCACAAATTTTACATTTCTTTGATATGTGAATATTAATTAGAGAATGCCAACAGGGATAAACACAAAAGGATTAAGCAAAAAGAAGCTTAATATCTAATTAAAAGTATCCCAGGGCTCAGTTGATTTAAAATTTAAAAACAATTCTTTGTGTTTGAAAATAAAGGAAATAGGAAATTTTAAGAAAACGCATTTGATTGAAATGTTTGAAAAAAACAATTTCACCATAATCCTATTAAGAAACATGAAATCAGAAAACAAAAAACAAAAAACTTTACTACTCTTGATAATGTTTAAAACTGAAAACAGTTTTTGAATATCATCTCAAAAGCAATTTCAGTCACTACAGATATTTAGATAAAACTTAAAAAGTTTTTTGATTGTATCTTAGTTTTCAAAAAAACATTTTAATATCACAAATCAAACCAGACCCTAAATTTTCCAAAAAAGAAAGTTCAAATATTAGCCAACACTCCCATACTATCTAGTCCCCACCAACTCATCATCATTACAACATTAGATATGCTGTATCATGGTACACCTCAAAAGTTCCAAAATGAAGGACTGTCACCAGCTATAGCCATAGAAACTAGATGATCAGCAAGGAGACAGTTCATAGCTGGACCATCATGCATCAATCAAAATAATTATAGAATTAATGACTACTTATATTTCTATATGATGCAATTCTAAATAAAGCAGATATTAGAATAAATATGTTATTAAAAAATATGTTATGCTATGGGTGTTCAGGAAAAATAGAAAAGAACTTATTAACCAAGTTCAAGAAGTAACCACATGAAAAAAAAAAAAAAAAAAGAAACCTCCTTACTATGCCAATTAAAAAATAAAGAGGCATTATGTAAAGAACATTGATCATTAATCATCTTACATAATCAAGAGAATTTACAACTATTTAATGATCTCATCAAAGCTTGTGCATGTAATTTCAACATTATTACAAAAAATCATACGCACTCCAACCATTTGAGCATGTAGCAAACAAGAGATTCCTCACTATAATTTCATGTTTTGAAACTTAAAAGTGATTAATCATAAAGACATAACTTAATGCTCTGCAAAAAATTCTTTCATCTCACCTTCTAATGTTAACAAAAATTGATCGGCTAGAGTGAAGACCCAATGAATCCAAATGAAGTAAAATTGGCCCTGACTCATCTTCCTCATCCGGGATACAAATAATCACCAAGCTCCAATGAAGACTGAATCCATCAGCACCATATAAGAATTCAAATATGAGAAGTAGTGCAATCCCAACAACAGTAAGAAAAAAGGGGGGGATGGAGGAGCATGACCTATTAAAACATCTATACAACTTATATACATGTTGCATGCTAAATGGACATTAAAAGCAAAAAGTAAATAGGATCTACTCAGACATTAGATACAAAATCACTCAATAATTCACACATGAAAACATCATTTGTCACACAGAGACAAACAATCTTGAAAACTCATTAAATAAACAAAACCTCATCTAGCTTAATGATCCTATTTTTTTTTTTTTTTTATAATTTACTGTGCAACAATTTTCCGTTCCCTCACAAAATAATGGCTAATTGATTTGTTGATTGTCTCCAGATCATTGCAAAGCACCATTTTTAAATGTACATACCAAAACTCTGCAAAACCAACCCACTTTTTTCTTTTTTCTTTTTTTTTTTTTTTTGAAGAAACAAAGTAACTACTATAAATTAAAAATGATAATCACAAAAGAGCAAACAAGCTATCCACAAAATAGGAATATACAGAATATGATGAAAAGGTCACTAAGACCAGCTACAGACAAACAGAAAAAAATCATGCCAACAGCAAAAATATAAGCAGAAATTCTCAATTTAAGCGAAAAAAGATAAGTATCTCAAAAAGATTCTGAAACCAATGCCCAAAGAGAAGCAAGAAAAGGATTATGTCCCACAAAATATGAATTTCTTCACAGCATCTTTCTTTAAACTTCAGTTTCTTTCTCACCAAACCGCCCAAAAAGTAGCTAAAGCTGCACAACTCCACAGACTTTGGCCTTTTCTCCTTCACCAAAGCCATAAAAGTGTTCTGAAAGAAAGTCACAACAAGAGGCTAGGATGACCCACCTAAATTTCTGCTGCTTAGTTAAAGCTTATAATAAATAGCTCAATATGACCCACTAAATTCGAGAATAAGTTAGTTCTTAGACTAATTGGCTGTTTAACAAGATCCTTGAATAAAAAAAGCCAACTAAGCATGCTATGCATTGATTCTTCCGACACTACAATAAGATACAGGAATAATTTGCATGCACAATCATGGTGAACACACCTTTCAATAAGCAGTGTTCAGGAATAGGAAAAGGACAGAGCTTGTTTACCAGATAAAACTAAACATAAAAATAAACAATTCACTTGTGCAATTATCTCATTCTGTTCATGACAACAATAAGTTGTGATTCCACTAAGAACTGAGAAGTGCTTGCTGGACCCAATAATGAACCTACAAAATCTTTATTTGCAAATAACTGATGAGGTCAAAATCAATGCATAACAACCTAAACATTACAGTTCATATGATCATTATGGTAATTTTTCATATTCAAAAGTTTGGTTAAAGTTATTGTGCAATCCTCCACAAAGAGAACTTACTCTTCATGTATAGGAATAAATATATATGCCTTCTGAAATATATTGACACCTTTCCACCACCTCCGGAACTTGATAAAAGAATCCTTTTCACCCCTCTACATAAACAAAAGAAGAAAACTTACTTGTAGTATCACCAGAGAAAAAAGAAAGCATAAAATTACAACTAAAGACACCACTCAAATATCAAGCATAATTCTTCAACGAAAACATTGACACATTAACATATGAAATCCAAAATATATCAGTAAAAAAGCTTCTTTTTTTTCTTTTTCTTTTTTTTTTTTTTTTTTTTTTTTTAAGATCACCAGAAACTTGTAAGTTGGACCACAAATGTGTCCAATCCTTATAATTTCCTAAATATAAATCATGGAGTAAAAGAATTAACAAAAGCCAAGCGTCCTCAACATCAACATTAGCAAAGCCATGGCAATATATCTCCAGGCAAGCACATATTCAATNCCCATTAAAAAATAAAGAGGCATTATGTAAAGAACATTGATCATTAATCATCTTACATAATCAAGAGAATTTACAACTATTTAATGATCTCATCAAAGCTTGTGCATGTAATTTCAACATTATTACAAAAAATCATACGCACTCCAACCATTTGAGCATGTAGCAAACAAGAGATTCCTCACTATAATTTCATGTTTTGAAACTTAAAAGTGATTAATCATAAAGACATAACTTAATGCTCTGCAAAAAATTCTTTCATCTCACCTTCTAATGTTAACAAAAATTGATCGGCTAGAGTGAAGACCCAATGAATCCAAATGAAGTAAAATTGGCCCTGACTCATCTTCCTCATCCGGGATACAAATAATCACCAAGCTCCAATGAAGACTGAATCCATCAGCACCATATAAGAATTCAAATATGAGAAGTAGTGCAATCCCAACAACAGTAAGAAAAAAGGGGGGGATGGAGGAGCATGACCTATTAAAACATCTATACAACTTATATACATGTTGCATGCTAAATGGACATTAAAAGCAAAAAGTAAATAGGATCTACTCAGACATTAGATACAAAATCACTCAATAATTCACACATGAAAACATCATTTGTCACACAGAGACAAACAATCTTGAAAACTCATTAAATAAACAAAACCTCATCTAGCTTAATGATCCTATTTTTTTTTTTTTTTTATAATTTACTGTGCAACAATTTTCCGTTCCCTCACAAAATAATGGCTAATTGATTTGTTGATTGTCTCCAGATCATTGCAAAGCACCATTTTTAAATGTACATACCAAAACTCTGCAAAACCAACCCACTTTTTTCTTTTTTCTTTTTTTTTTTTTTTTGAAGAAACAAAGTAACTACTATAAATTAAAAATGATAATCACAAAAGAGCAAACAAGCTATCCACAAAATAGGAATATACAGAATATGATGAAAAGGTCACTAAGACCAGCTACAGACAAACAGAAAAAAATCATGCCAACAGCAAAAATATAAGCAGAAATTCTCAATTTAAGCGAAAAAAGATAAGTATCTCAAAAAGATTCTGAAACCAATGCCCAAAGAGAAGCAAGAAAAGGATTATGTCCCACAAAATATGAATTTCTTCACAGCATCTTTCTTTAAACTTCAGTTTCTTTCTCACCAAACCGCCCAAAAAGTAGCTAAAGCTGCACAACTCCACAGACTTTGGCCTTTTCTCCTTCACCAAAGCCATAAAAGTGTTCTGAAAGAAAGTCACAACAAGAGGCTAGGATGACCCACCTAAATTTCTGCTGCTTAGTTAAAGCTTATAATAAATAGCTCAATATGACCCACTAAATTCGAGAATAAGTTAGTTCTTAGACTAATTGGCTGTTTAACAAGATCCTTGAATAAAAAAAGCCAACTAAGCATGCTATGCATTGATTCTTCCGACACTACAATAAGATACAGGAATAATTTGCATGCACAATCATGGTGAACACACCTTTCAATAAGCAGTGTTCAGGAATAGGAAAAGGACAGAGCTTGTTTACCAGATAAAACTAAACATAAAAATAAACAATTCACTTGTGCAATTATCTCATTCTGTTCATGACAACAATAAGTTGTGATTCCACTAAGAACTGAGAAGTGCTTGCTGGACCCAATAATGAACCTACAAAATCTTTATTTGCAAATAACTGATGAGGTCAAAATCAATGCATAACAACCTAAACATTACAGTTCATATGATCATTATGGTAATTTTTCATATTCAAAAGTTTGGTTAAAGTTATTGTGCAATCCTCCACAAAGAGAACTTACTCTTCATGTATAGGAATAAATATATATGCCTTCTGAAATATATTGACACCTTTCCACCACCTCCGGAACTTGATAAAAGAATCCTTTTCACCCCTCTACATAAACAAAAGAAGAAAACTTACTTGTAGTATCACCAGAGAAAAAAGAAAGCATAAAATTACAACTAAAGACACCACTCAAATATCAAGCATAATTCTTCAACGAAAACATTGACACATTAACATATGAAATCCAAAATATATCAGTAAAAAAGCTTCTTTTTTTTCTTTTTCTTTTTTTTTTTTTTTTTTTTTTTTTAAGATCACCAGAAACTTGTAAGTTGGACCACAAATGTGTCCAATCCTTATAATTTCCTAAATATAAATCATGGAGTAAAAGAATTAACAAAAGCCAAGCGTCCTCAACATCAACATTAGCAAAGCCATGGCAATATATCTCCAGGCAAGCACATATTCAATGCCCTTGAGAGCCACAGTATTAATAATTTAATCAGATATTTAATTCTAAAAGTTCAGTGTTTTTTCAAACTCCAACTCAAAATGGCTTACAGATTCAAAAACATAACTCTCCCTGTAGCTATAGAATAACAAGCAGATTTTTAAGTATAAAGAAAGTAGCTACCCTGCGTGATACAGCCTCCTTGAGTTTCTGGTAAAAATATGTGTTGAAAAAATGGCAATCCCATATGGCCCTATTTGCTGGGGATGCTTGCTGCTGTAAATACCTAGAAAGATGAACTCACAATTGATTAACTACAGACACTGAAAAGCAAGTCCACAAGAAAAATTCACCCAGACTACAACAAACATAATAGATTCCTCATTAGGACATTTCAGACACTGTCAACAAGAACTAAATAGCACACAAGGTGAAGATATTTGCATTAAAACTCCAAAGTAAACAAAATAAGGAAAATCCAGATCTCCTCTTACCCAAGGCTACGTATACATACAGAATAAGCAGAGCAACTTTGCCATGCCAGATGTCATATTGTTAGAAAAAAGTAATCAAACCATATTATTGGTTCCTACCAACAACATCATTAGATACTGATGATCTATTGGCGTTTGAGTTGTCTGACCTGTTTAACCTCCACTGTATAGATCTTTTTGTGATCCTTTAGATAGATCTTAACTTTTATGGACAGATTGATTATTCACTCTTTTGTAACTATTTCAATTAATGATATTGCAATGTTTCTCCTCAAAAAGGAAAAGTAATAATAATAATAATCAATCAATGATATTGCAATGTTTCTTCTCAAAAAGGAAAAGTAATAATAATAATAATCAATCAATAACATTTGCAGTGTCAACACCTTTCAAAGATGTTAGTACTTCAAGGATACTCAACAGGGGGAAAAAATGTAAGCTTTACAAAATACCCTAGCAAGCAATAACATTGCACCATATATGAATAATAGGGAAAAAGTAGCACCACCCAGTGGGTTCATCTTAATAAATGCACGTGTGTCCTCAATCAGTATATATATATATATATCGAAAACTTTTCTTTTCCACCTAGGAATTTTTATATTTATTTCAATATTAATGGTTTAACAACTTAAGGTGAGAAGAAAAATTTGAGTAGTAACAGAAAAGACAAAAAATATTGCAAGACATAGTGAAAATATTCAAGGCCCATTATGCAATAAGTTAATAGCTTCTTATCAAGATGATATTTTTAGTATTCAAGAAATATTTCTGAATGAACAAAAATACCATTATTTTCTATTAAATGAGTTTTAAAACAAAAATACCCTTCAAAATTATGGAAGTTACGCTTGACTCCTTCACATGAAAAACAACCACTTAAGAAAAACAACCTGTAAACATCTTATAACCTACCAATGGCCAGCACCACACTTTAAGAAATACAACTTGTAAACAACTTATAGCCTACAAATGGCCAGCACCATTCAAAGGTGCACAGTACTCCTTTTTTTTTTTTGGTAATTCAAAAATCCCTCATACTTGCTTCAGATGCCCAAGTTCGAAATTGGAGTCGAACCCTGCAATCTTTGGGAAAAGGGGAATGCACATGAGGGGGCTTGAACCCCAGACTTTGTGGAAGCAAACCACAGTCTTGACCATCTGGTTAAACCCTCATACCTCACTGCAGTTGAAGCCAATAGTCTGAAAAACAGGCTCCCTTTTCCTTTTGTTTGGGGGAATGGGGGGAATTCACATGCTTTCTTACATGTTAATGCAACATGGTATCACACTATGGATAGGGGATAAAACTAGTATAAAAGGTAGTTTGTGCAAGGGAAAATAACTATCATCCTCCTAGTCCTAGCATCAGCTATACTAAAATGCTTACCGAATGTAGAAGTTCATAATTGAAGATGTCAGATAAGCTTCAGGAGCAAGGCGATCTATATCCTTGTAATAAATTTCAACAGATTCTGGGTCATCCCTGGCTCAAAAAACAGTAAACATGAGTTCTTTAACGAAAACTGTTAGCCAAAAAAACCATTCTTTATCATTTTCAGGGAAGAGTTAGGTGTGTACTTCGATGGGTAGTCAATCTTAGCATCCCTCTCACTGAAAAAGTTACAGAAATATAAATTGTTACTAAACTCAAACCCTAATACCAAGCTGAAATAGAGTAGGATAACTATTAACCAGTATCAGAAGTCCACTTACCATTCAGCAAGCTTGTCTGCTTGCTTTGTTGTCTCTACACATGGAGTTTCCACAGTTGACTCTTCAATTTCATCCTCATCCAGGAGCACAAGGGTCTGTCCCTGATCGGATATAATAGCCACAGATCTAATTAGTCAATCAAGATAAAAAGCCTATGAAGGAGAGACAGAATATACACCCATTGCAGGCAAGCTAAACAATTACACTGACTAGTAACCAGAAAACTTCTACGTACTACCCAGAGCTGCAACAATTTCATCCATCAACATAATTGGTTCTTCTAGGATCTCATGGTAAAGTTCCCCCTTTTTCTTCTTAGCTACAAAGGCTAATTACTTATCCATTCTATTTATATCCACACTTAAACTAATTCACCGAGATGTTTGTGAAAAAACAAGTTAATCTCCCATACCCACGGCTCTAAAATAGTTTCCCTTTTCAATGAAGGACTTAAACTCATCTCAAGAACAAAATCATCATACTATGGTCATTGTTGACAAAATGAGCAAGCAAAAGTATAAAAAGAAAGCATCTAAAAAAGTACCTTTTTATGCCTTGAAATATTTGATCGTAGAACCTCAAATGCATCCTTCCTAACGCACAAGAAGGAAAAAGAGAGGAAAAATTCATTAGAAACATTCATTCAAGTCAACTAATTGAGAATAGCAGAATTTTCTGTCAATAAATTTAGTTACCATATCCTGACCCTAAAATATAAGAAAACACAGGATGTGTCAAACACTCAGTAGGATACAAGATTGCTAATAGATGACAACATTTAAGTGCAACAGCAGCAGTCAATAACAAGCAACAGTATAACGAGTAAATAATACAAAAGAGAGAAAGGAGTCATACGAAATGAAATGCATACTTGTTAGGAAAACAGATGGACAGGTTATCCCCAGTGTGGAGAGAAGAATAAGTGGTAGAACCTCTGCCCTTATGGTCACCATTTGAGTAAACAGGTTTATCTATTTTACAAGAGAGACTGCTAGGGTACTCAACAGGAAATTGTCTTGATGATGATCGATCTTTTCTTTCCCTTTGTGATAACTGTCTACCAGCTCTCATTTTTCGGCGACCACAATGATCCAAGGTTGATAATTCCTTATCAAATACTTTCACTACCATACAATCTCTCTGTTAAATAAATTAAAAATATGTAAAAGCAATTAAGTTGGCAGCTAATGAGGTGAAAAAAGGTCATATGAAAAGTAGAGTGCCATACTTTTTCTTCCATCTTTTCACTAAAAACAGTTGCAAATGAGGATTGCGATTGGACTTCAGAAGATGTGGTCCCGTGAATCAAGCCATCTGAAGCACCTATTGGAAAGGTTTGATTTCCTTAATTAGGTATTCTGCTAAATGTTCATTTTTTTTAATTCCACTGGATGCGATATAGTTGAAATAGCATTATTAGGCTCTTTCTGTACAAACTTAGGCCATAAGGATTAGTGGTTACTCAATAGCTAGAAATTATTTAACAGAAAAACAATTTTATATCAGAAGTCTCCAGCCATGATTGTGTAAGAAAAATAGTGACATCAATTTGTATTTCTTCAAAAACTCCAAACATTATCAAAATGATCTTTTCTCATTAATAAGTTTAAAAACACACAACAATCAAAATTTTTGTTATGAGAATAAATAAATAAAGCCTTAACTTTTGTTAATGTACCACCACTGTATACTCTTTTATGAAAAATAAAATAAAAAATAGAACTCAAGAAAACTATTACTATGTACTCATTAATAAAATGGTCACAAACTTGTAGGTTTAACAACTAGGATAATCTGATAATACCTGAGTTTGTGGGTTTTGAGGACTTCTTGAACCGATCAACATCCTGTGCAATAAAAAGTGTAAAAAAATCAGTCTAAGCATCCACCCTTAACATTAAAAATGAAATGAATATATTTTCACCAGCTAAGAACTTTATAGAACACAGTACAAATGCTTGGAGATGTTAAGTGTTCATTCGATACTGCTTTGCAAAATGGTTTTCAAAACTGTTTGTATATTGGAAACAAGAAATCAAATTTTAAATTTCCGAGATCAAATACATGTATGGAAATGTACCTGAAAACAGTTTTCTAAGAACAATGAAATTAATGAAGACAATGTGAAGTTTGGAGAAGAAGAATTTTGTGTTTACAAAAACCCAAACAGATTTTGGGAAATGGTACCAAACAAGCTCTAAATACCAAATAAAGGCGCACATATTTGAGAAACCAAACACGCAATATACATATAATTTGTTTAGAGGATGTGAAACTCCTCAAGAATATTTAAAAAAAAACAAAGGTAAAGTCTTAAATGTCAGTTAACAACCAACACCTCATTATCCAAAAATGAGGTGTATAACCAGAGAATCACGTGTTTGAAAACATAAGATATACTCAATTAGACAAATTCTGAAACTGCCCTTGCCTTGGAGACACTAAGGATAAACCCTATAAAGTCAACATGGATCAAGTCGCAAAATTACCAACATGCTTTTATAAATTGGGATGAAGACTCCATTAAACATTGTAAGGATGTTCAGGTATATAGCAGTAAAAGGTTATTATTTTAAAAGTAGGAATATTCCATTACTTCTTGTACCCTCTCATATTATTATTGAGATCAAAGATCAAAACCTATAACAATGTAGGACATACATGATACAAGAGTCAGAAAAAATCATACTAAATAGATAAGAATCATCCTTTAATTATAATGGTCTAAATTTTATGTTTGATTAAAAGGTTGAAAATATCATATACCGCAGAAATTATGAATGATTTGATTTAAGTTTGAACCACTCACTATTGTCAATTTTCTATCAAACCAATCAACTACTACAATCTACCATTTGACAGGTCTTCATTCACATTTTCGATTGAAATGATAAGTATCTAAAAGACATGGACAGTTCCAGTACTTCTGTAGTAATAGAGAGGCGCCAAACCCATTGCGGAATAACAATTTTGATGTTACCTAAAAAACGGTACACAATATACTGATTACATCACCAGTGTCACTGCATATGGCTGGGTAAAAAAAGCACAGAAACTAGAGTTAAAATGGAACCTCTATCCTGTGTCAACACAGAACCAACCATAAGAGATACTACATTTAACTCCCCATGAGCAAGCACTATAATTCCCCAACAACAAAAGCTATAAAGTTGGCACGATCCCTTGCTAAATCCACAATATAACTGAGACCCCAAATTTCCAGTGTTTAATATATTAAAATTACAAACTAAAATATCTAACTTTTTACCATCACAGAAAAATGAACTCAACCTGTGCTCATTTCAATAGAATATAATTGAAACTAAAAATGAATACTACCAAACAGAACTTAACAGTACTTACAAGTTTAATAACCTCTTATCGCAACAAACACTAACCCTTTGATTTTAAAGAGAAAATCAAACTTTTAGCGACAGGTAAAAGAAAAATAAAGTTTTTGCATAAAATTTTAATCGAAAGGGAATTGACCACAGAAAACTGTGAAAACAGTCTGAACAATTTGGTACTAAATCCTAAAACTGTTGTCCTTCCGTTTCTCCGATTTTCTCATGAACCAAACAAGAAATAGGAAAACAGAAAAAAGAAGAAAGGTGAGAGGTGAAAAATTCTAACCAAACAATCCATCTCCGCCCGACGAAGCCTCCTTCGCTGTTTCTCGTCCTCTAGGCGCTTAATTTTATCCAGAATCTTCTGACCTTTATCGGCCAAAGTTCGATTAAAGTTTTCGTAAGTTTTTTTCATACTGGTAATCTTGGTCTCGAGCTCATGATCGGTGATCTGCTGATAAAATTCATCTCCTGCGAGTGCGTCATCGCTGGAACCAGGGAGTGTCGTCGATTTCGGAGGCGCCGACGGCGGTTCCTCCTTTTTCACGATGAGCTCAGCCGGTGGGTCGTCGTTTCCCGCTGTAAGTACCTCCTCCCAGTCAATGTCTAATTTCCTCTTGTTCCGATTCTCCTCTTGCTCTTCCATGCATGTAAATTTTTCAGAGACACTTGTGTTTTTTTCTACCACGCTCTTTTGCTTCTGCAACTGTTTTGTTGCTTGTTGCCTTTCTTTGGGGGATGTGTAAAGCCCAAAAATATTTTTGTCTACAATTAAATCATATAATTAAATAAAAATCTTATAAAATTTACGTAAAATATTATTCTATATTTTATTTTTTATTTGTTTATATCACTCAATTATATAATTCAGTTATAAACATAATATTACTTATTAAGAAATAATTAACACTGCTACGATGAAACTCAAATTATACAATCAATCAAAATATTCTCTTCCTACTTCATTATAAAACCCATAATTTATTTATTTTTTAAATTAATTTCTCGAATATATATAGATATATATACACATATATAATTGTGCTCTCAAATTTAACTTTTATTACTTAAAATATCGGTGACCCTCTATACTAAAATGAAATCTGTATTGGCTTTTGTTATTAAGGCAATTAATAAATAAATATATACAAGGATTATTCATTATGATTTTATAATTATCTCAATAATTTGTCTACCGACAATAGATGTGAGAGTTATTACTGGTGATGAATGAAATTTACCTCTTGGCTCTTGAGCATCTTAAAATCCGGTGAGTTTCATCTCCACCGTTGAGAATTTGTTTATATTTTTTATATATATATTATCTGAATTAGTTAGGTATACCTTAACTAATTTTTGGACCTACAAATTTAATATTTCAAATAAATCATAAATAATTTTAAGTAAATCATAAATGATTTCAAGTAAACCATAAATATGGTAGATGATTTCAAAGTGGTTTAAGTCAAAGAAATCAATGAGATAAGTAAACTCAAGCATTTGAGACTTTCCCGGGACAAAGAGCCACCCAAGTGTTGTGATATTGGCTCTTGGCCGAAAATAGAAAGTGTGTAAGAGCTCCCATGTGCAATGTGGTAACTCGATAGGCTTGCAAAAGCGCCCATGTGCACAATTGGTTTTCCCTCCATAATTTCCTTCCCTATTAAATTAATTGAATGCCACCAATTTACATTGCATCCAAATATTGGACTAAAGTCGAGAAAGTCACCAAATGGGAAATTGGGGCGGTTTAGGCTAAAACTGGGCTTTTTAAACTCATTTTGAGCACACCAACTCTAATGAGCCGATCCATCACCTATCCTTTGGTCCTCCATTTCTTCTTGGGGTAAAAGAATACCATTAGTCCCATTTGGTTTCTTCGTGATTTTAACAGGTATAATGGCCCGATTCACATCACCTTTTGTTGGAAAACACTAAGGACAACACTTTTATATAATGGACAAAACTTATCTTAATTATCTATTCTAATTCTATGATTAATATTCTCTAATCTCTTCCCACATTATTAGTCATGAGAAACTTATCAACATCACACATTACTGTAATCATATTATCATCCTATCAAAACTAGTAATTTAGGGATGTCAATAGTTAAGTTATTGAAGGAAAATAGTATGTTAGAACTCAAGCCCAACCCAAAAGACCAGCCTGATAGATGGAAGAGCCCCTAGGCTTAAGTAGCACACTTGGTGAATGTGAGATTTCGATATGAGATCCTAACATTGCACCCCCCTTCAAGAGTCGACGTTCATGGTGGCTTTCACTCTATCAATACTGACCCGACGGTAGCATTTTTCCCCTTTGGACGGCTTTACTCACCTATTAGTCATTCAATGCACATTGCACCTTAATCTAGCCTATAGGCAGTATTTTTCGTAGCTCAGCTCTCAACGAAAACACAAATGTTAGAACTGAAACCCAAGGAAGAGTCCAACCCAAAAGACTAGCCTAATTGGTGGAAGAGCCTCTAGGCTTAAGTAATATACTTGGTGGGTGTGAGATATTGATGTGGGATCCTAACATAGTATGATGGACTTAATTAATCGAGGAAAAATATAAGAGAATATACAAATTGATGTGATGTTTTTCTTTTATTAACATATCAGTCATATATATTTATCAATGTTTAATATATGGACTTTTTATATACTTCCTTCCATTCATTAAATGATAGGTTAGATTGTACATCATTTTAGGTATCCAAAACATTCCGTTAGAGTTTGACTTGAGTCTATTTGGATCAAAATCTACGGAGTAATACTACACTAACAATTATCTCTTATAAATTTTTTCTCATAACCCTGACATGACAGTTTATAATTAGTCAGTTTACAATTAATTGGTAGGACCTATGTGAGACCCGTTGTGAACTGACTAAATATGAGTTGCTACATCAGGGTTATAAAAGAAGGTTGTTGGTGTAGTATTATTCAAATCCATGAGGCTTTTTTTTTTATTATTGTTATGTTTGTTAACAACTGTGATTTTGGGAATGGTGAGTGATAAATTTTAGTTAATAGAGTTTAATTAAATTTACAATAGTTACCATCCTAATTCCTAAGTAACCTGTGGTTTTTTCTTTTTTTTTTTCATTGGAGGTGTCTAGGCTAGTTTGCATATAACTTAACTAATCTTTCGAAACCTTGAAACTGTCGACTCAGTAAGAGTCATAATGGTCACCCCTATTCGTGGTTGAGGAGACTCGAACTCAAGAGTTTACCCAGTGGTGGTTCCTAAGTAACAATTTTGAATGAACCAATTAACCAAAGTGAGCCACTTTTAGCAAATTTTAGGGTGGGTTTTTCTTTTTTAGGAATTTTATGAATCTACTTTTTGTTTTTTGAAAACATTGAAAAATGATTAAAAAAAGTGGTTGACATATTTGTCTCAAAATAAGATTTCAAAAAATGTGAAAATGAACACACTTTTGTTTGAAAAACGCTAAAATTAATGAAAAAAAAAAATCCAAAATTTATCCACTAAACAATAGATAAGACTTCTTCAAATTATTATTTATCTTATTCGTTTTTGTTTTAAATATGTTAATTTTTTTATTCCCCTTTAAAAGTTTATAAAAAAAAACATTGATTTAAAATAAAATCTCATGAGAGAGGAGATATTTTTATTGAAAATTTTCTCTATATTTGTACTTTGTCGGGCGAAAATAAAAAAAAAAAAATTATATATTTTACTTATGAAAAAAAGGAAATATTTTCCACTCATATTGTACTTTTCAAACGAAAACATGCTGAAGTAATGTTTCCTTTACATCCTCTTTCGCAATCTTTATCTCACAAATTTAATGTGATAGTTTATAATTGATTAATTTACAATGAATCAGTTTATAATATATTTTAACCTATAAAATTATATTGACCAATTATGAGTTACTACGAGTTGTAAGAAAATTGATTAACTTATAATAAGTCAGTTTACAATAGATTATAACCGATAAAATTCTGTTGATTAATTATGAATTACAGGTTGTGAGAAAAGTTTAAAGCTTAGGATTATTGAATCACTCATCAGATGCCAAACCAAAACCAAATCAAAACGCCAAGACAACCAAGTACAAGCAACTTAGCTCCGGTTAGTTTTAGGCGGCTCCAATACTATTTCCCAATAAAAAACCGACAAGTGGCTTAACATTAATAAAATAAAGAAATAAATAAATCAGCAAGCTTTTATTTTGCTTTTCTAGGGCACAGAAACAAGAAAACCAAATACAACCACCACCTCTGCAAATCCACGGGTCCGTTCATCACAAACTCACTATGGCCGATTCGCCTCCATCTCCGGCGAACGTAGACCCGAACAGTAAGCAACCCGAGTCCGAAAATCGGGCTAGTCAACCCGATCAATCATCCACTTCCGTACCACCACAAGAGCAACAATCAGCGACGCCAAACCCTAACAGTAACCAGGCGCCACCGCCTCCATCGATCCAATTTTATGCTTCGCCACAGCCAATCTCGGTGCCTCCGACGGCACCGTCGTACCGTCCTGTGACGATCCCGGCGGTGCCGCAGTTCTCTCCTGTTCAGAATTTCCAAAACACTGGCGTGCAGCCGCCGGGCGTGGGCGTTAGTGGTGGCGTTGCGGTGACGATGGCTCCGCCAATGATGCCATATCATGTTGTCCCAGGTCAGGTTCCGAATCCAGCGCTTAGACCTTATGCACCAATGCCTAATGGATACGGTGTCGTTCACGCACCTGCTCCGGGTGGGTCCCTCTCTCTATGTTTCTTGATTATGTACGATGCTTTGCAAACGAGAATTATTTTAAATGAATATATATAGGTATATTTTTTTTGATTTATTTGCATGTGTTGTGGAATTTGTATGAATGATTTATAATTTTTGGCTTTATAGTGTATTTCAGTTGACGAGAAAGTATTGGTTATTGATTTATATGTTGTAGTATTTGCTATAACAAGGTTACGTTATGGTTAAGTCGGGGGATATTGATATGTTAAAGTTATGTAGGATATGGGAGAGATTTAGAAAATTGGTGTTGGTTAGTTAGATAAGGGGCATCGATGACAGGATGTTTTCTCGTACAGTGTCATGATTGAGTACACGGTGAGAAAGGTTGGGAGGCTTCAATATTGCTTAAGAGAACCACTTCTACAACCCCTTTTTGGTATGCACGTATTTGATTGGTTTCCTTATTGCATTTAGAATAAATGATATGAGTAATTGTAGTTTAAATGAAAGATTTTCCTTTTGTCAAGCCCAAGTCGGCCTAAAGAGTGTTTACAATATGTCATGCTAAATTATGTCTGGTTGTGTCATGTTCATTTTAGTAGGCTACTTTCTGGTAGTTATAAGGATACTTGCCTTATGAATTGCCAGCAGCAGAACATGTTAGCAACTGAGTGCTCGTTGGCCTTGTATTCTAAGGTATTGCAAATTCTTTCGTTTACAGTTTCTCTTTCCTTTCTTTGTCCTCTTCATGCTGCACATTGGGCTTCTAACAGTTGAGATAAATTTAAATGGCCACATATACAAGCATAGATTTGTGTAATAATTCACCTATGAGCATGAGATGCTGGAAAATTCTCATTATGCTATTTCAAAATTGTGCAATTGGTGCATGGGATTGTGACACACTGCTACTTAACACGTGGATGCGAAAGGTAAGCGTCTTCATATATTCATGATTATGAATTCGATGCTATTCTCTCAATGTTTCCTTCAGGTTATCTGTTCAGCTGGTGATAGTTGTCATGCCTGTGGTGCCATCTCTAATATGCTTTTAATGTGTGGTAACAGCATTTAATTATGTTTTTGAAGTTTTTAGGTGCTGAGAAAACAGTTATGACTGTATTTTGTTTGTAAACTTGTTCTTACATATTGGCATAGATGTTTGTTCTTTATTTATTCAGGTCTTCCTCGGTATCCTGCTCCGTACCCAGCTATGGTTCGGCCTGTATTTCCTCCACGTCCTCCAGGACCTGTTGGAGTGCTTCCGGCAGTGGCACGTCCTCCTGTTCCCGGGATTGCTGGTGTTCGCCCGATAATTCCACCAGTTGTTAGGCCAGCTGTTTTTCCTGGTGGTACACCAGCAGAGAAACCCGAAACTACTGTTTATGTTGGCAAGATAGCATCAACTGCAGATAATGATTTTATGCTTTCTCTTCTTCAGGTAAATGATAAATATTATTGTGATTCCATTTAAAAATTTACTTTACAAATTTGGGCTTTACTGCTGTGCCTAAAGCTCTGTTTAAGTCCTATCTTTGATAAGCTTTGTGTTGTCAAATCTGATATTTGTACTTCTTTGCAAGGTATGTGGACCTGTCAAGAGCTGGAAACGTCCTCAGCATCCCTCAAATGGGACACTTAAAGGCTTTGGGTTCTGTGAATTTGAGTCTGCTGAAGGGGTTCTTCGTGCATTACGACTGCTCAGTAAATTTAACGTTGATGGGCAAGAATTAATGGTATGTTTGGATTTATGATATTTTCATCTAATTGTCATTATTGTTTCAGTGCCTCTGCCTGTTAGGTAGTGGATGCGAAAATAAATTGACCAACTTATCTGCAAGATGCCTTTTTAAAATTGAAATCATTATCATGTATATGGATGATGAAGGTGAGGTAAGCATTCCCTAAAGTTATTTTAATTAGATATGGAGAGATTTCCCACCTATTTTTCAAGACATAGAATGCTTTTAAGCTTGAAGTAGGCTTCAATTAATATGTAAAGGGGCTTTTTTTGATAGAAAACAAAAAGAATGGAGGAGGTTAATGAGTGAATTAGATACTGGCTGTTGAATAGCAGAACCTTCACGCACCAAGTCAGTTATGGTTAGTTATCTGGGTGTGTTACGTTTACAGGAGTATCTCAATGATGAGATTTTATCGTTATATATTTTCTGTAGCTGTTTACAATACATAATTGTCATTATGGATTGTTGAGGCACAATTTAGTATGTGAATAGATTACCACCATTACTCTCTTATTTTTCTACTTTTCTCCTATTAATTCTGAGCTTGTTTGTTCTAGTTTGTGTTAGATTCGATCTTAAATCTTAGGTAAAGTTAGGAAATGAGTTCGAGGAGCAACTTGTCACTTATATTAAGGATTATGGAGCCAGATTTTATATATTAAAAAAGGAATCTATGGGCTTCAGTGGGCCATACATGGGGCCTAGCATGTCGACTATGGTAGACCTGGATAGCACCACATCCTGATTTCAGAAAAACAGGGAGGTCAAGGTTTTAGTTTGTTCTGTAGATAGGAATGTGTGCCTGGGTTTACTGTTCTTTCATTAGTGATCATGAATTTGTTTTAATAGTAAACTGTATTTTTACTTTCTGCATGATCAACAGTTAAATGTTACTCAAGCAACAAAAGAGTATTTGGAGCGACATGTTGAGAAGAAAACTGAAAACACAAAGAAACTCAAGGAAACTCAAGATGCAGGGGCTGAGAAAGAGGATGCAAGTGTGCAAGGTGTTGAGAAAAAAGAGCTTCCCAAAGCCTCTGAAGACTTGAAGAAGGAAAATGAAACTGGAGACAAAGAGAGTCATGATAATTCCAATTTTGGGATTGTGACTGATGAGGATAGGGAAGCTGACCGAGAGGCTTTGGAGAAGCTTAAAAGCATGATTGAAGAGAGGTTAAGGGCCAATCCTCTGCCTCCACCCCCTGCTCAATCAACCGTTGATGGTTTTGGTATTCCAAACTCAGAATTGCCAGCTAAAAATAGGGATGGAGACTCTGATGTGGATATATTGAGAAATGGTGAGTTTCTGTAGTTGGCATATATAGTTTGATTGCTATATGTTAATTCAGGTAGTTTATATAGAAGAAAATTTAATCTTTAATCACTGTCACGAGATCTGATATTGTCTTTAATCACAGTTTTTTTTTTTTTTTTTTTTTTAATCTTAGAATAACTTGGAGCTTTGATGTTATATATATTCAGATTTAGCTGAAGATAAGATTGATGATGAGACAGCCAGTGATTCCAAAGCAACTAGTGAGCATGATAGGCCTGACACAAGCTCACCTGATAAGAGTAGGACTTATGATAGGAGAAGTAGAGATAGAGACAGAGAGCGAGATCTAAAACGAGAAAAGGAACGGGAAATTGATAGATATGAAAGGGAAGCGGAGCGAGAACGTGCCAGGAAAGAGAGAGAGCAAAGAAGGAAGATCGAGGAGGCCGAGCGTGAGTATGAAAGGTGTCTTAAAGATTGGGAGTATAGAGAAAGAGAGAGAGAAAAAGAGAGGCAGTATGAGAAGGAGAGGGAGAAAGAGAGGGAACGCAAACGGAAGAAAGAAATCCTTTATGATGAAGAAGATGAGGATGATGATTCACGGAAAAGATGGCGTAGGAGTGTGTTAGAAGACAAGAGAAGAAAGAGGCTGAGAGAAAAGGAGGATGATTTCAGTGACAAAATTAAAGAAGAGGAAGAAATTGCTGAGGCTAAGAAGAGGGCTGAGGAGGAACAGCTGCAGCAGCAACAAAGAGATGCATTGAAGCTTTTGTCTAGGCATGAAGCAAATGGAACTGAAAAACCTTCATTGGCTGAAGAATCTGGTGTTGAGACCAAAGATAAAACTGCTGTTGATCAGGATTATGAGGGTGATTCCATTCATGAAAATCATGTAGCTGGTAAACCTTTTCCCTGGAAAAAAAAATATTACTCATTGAACTTTACTATTGTTTCTACTCTCTCTATCTGCCACTTCATATTGTCATAAATGTTGTATGATTTTCTGGGACAGGTGATGAAGTTTTACAAAATGGTACTGGTGATGAATCAATGAATGCATCCGTTTCTGCATTGGATATGCGGCAGAGCAGTAATGCCCCAGCAAGAAAGTTGGGCTTTGGTCTTGTTGGCTCTGGCAAACGAACTGCTGTCCCTTCTGTCTTCCATGAGGAGGATGATGATGATGCACAGAAGGAGAAAAAGATGAGACCCCTGGTTCCCATTGATTACTCCACTGAGGAACTGCAGGCAGCCCAACCTATTGTTTCTGGAGCAAACCAGCCAAATTTGGCAGCAGCGGCAGAATTTGCAAAGCGCATTTCAAATGTTAATTCCAAAGACGAGAAGCTTGATTCCGAAAGAGAAAGAAGTAGGCGTTCTCATGATAGGTCAAGCCAGCGTGAGAAGGACCGTAGTGGTGAGGATAATAGTCGCACAAGAGATGAGAAAAAAGAGAAGATTCTTGATCGGGATAGAGATCGGGAACATGGGTTAGATAAGGCGAAGACACCGGATAACAAAAAACTTTTAGATGCTAAACAATTGATTGATATGATCCCTAAGACAAAAGAGGAGTTGTTTTCGTTTGAGATAAATTGGGCTGTTTATGATGAGGTAATCAATTCTACTTATAACCCCTAATCTATATTGTTGCTTGTGGAAACTAATTTTTATATCTCCTGTTTCTTAGGTCGTGATCATGTTTTTTCATGGAATTGAATGGGGAATGAGGATGAGAATGAGAATCTCCTTCTTTTCCCATTCAATTGTTTACTTAATGCATGTGATAAGGACATTCTTAAGAAAGTTAATTCCTTAAATGGTGGCATAACAATTCCCCATTTCATTCCTCATTATCATATAAATTTATCATTTACCCTTTAGTAATATATATTTAAAAATCTTTGGATAGTCTTGGGTAGAGCTTTATGCATATGATTTCAAATATTTTTATCTGTTCTGTAATGGTATCATGTATTTTTGTTATGTTCTATTAGAATTCATGATATGGTTGTTCTAAAATGATACTGGGTTTTGATGTGTTATGTACTATAGCATGAGCTGCATGAGAGAATGAGACCGTGGATTTCAAAGAAGATAACAGAGTTTTTGGGAGAAGAGGAAACCACTCTGGTAGACTATATTGTATCCAGTACTCAAGAACATGTGAAGGCATCTCAAATGCTAGAGTTGCTGCAAACTATTTTAGATGATGAAGCTGAAATGTTTGTGCTCAAGATGTGGAGGATGCTTATCTTCGAAATTAAGAAGGTAGAGACAGGTCTTGCATTGAGGGCAAGATCTTGAATGGGTCTTTTTTTAAAATGTTCCTGCATGGCTGCGGGATTGAGTCGTGTTATATTTGAATATCATTCCAACTCATCTCCCGTTTATTACAGTAGTCAGAACATGGATTGCACTCAAGGTTAGGTATATCCTTGTTCGCGAGTCTGTATTGTTTCAGGAATTTCATCTCAAGAAATGAACCAATTTTTGTACTGAAACCAGGGTTCTATGTGCTTTTNAGTACTCAAGAACATGTGAAGGCATCTCAAATGCTAGAGTTGCTGCAAACTATTTTAGATGATGAAGCTGAAATGTTTGTGCTCAAGATGTGGAGGATGCTTATCTTCGAAATTAAGAAGGTAGAGACAGGTCTTGCATTGAGGGCAAGATCTTGAATGGGTCTTTTTTTAAAATGTTCCTGCATGGCTGCGGGATTGAGTCGTGTTATATTTGAATATCATTCCAACTCATCTCCCGTTTATTACAGTAGTCAGAACATGGATTGCACTCAAGGTTAGGTATATCCTTGTTCGCGAGTCTGTATTGTTTCAGGAATTTCATCTCAAGAAATGAACCAATTTTTGTACTGAAACCAGGGTTCTATGTGCTTTTTTAGCAAAATCAGCATAGTCTTAATTTTTTATTGTACTTGTAAAGATTCTTCAATGATTCACTTGGTGAAGTGAATGTTCTCTGCCGTAACGGTGGCATTCGTTGTTCTTACTTAAAGAGTAATACTGTTAAGCTAATGCACAAGCCTTGTAAAACGGTTAAAATATCTGTAGCGCTCGGTTAGGTTTCAGCTTCAGTGATTACCAGCCTGAGATCGACCAACTTAAGCTAATTCTGTAGTTATCAACTTTTTCTTAAATCTTTAAAGAGTTAAAAAGAGATCAACTGCCCTGCCGTTTAGTGTAATAACAAAAATCTCTTTAAAGTGGACCGTTCGAACATTATTATGAGTTTATAAATATTTTACCGAATTGCGCTCCTGTTATGTATTTTAACTCAAATTTTAATGACAAGAATTTCTATTGGGTCAAGGTACTATGACTTAGGTTTTTTGATATTCCTTATAAACCGCTCATCACAATTGATCCAAAAGATATTGAGTTGACAATAAATATTTTATCTTTTAGCTTCTTTTTTTATAACTGTTGGATTAGCAATAATGAAGGGTTAACAAAAAGTATGAATAATTTAAGTAAAAAATTTAAACCATAGTTTCCTAACTCATTTCTATTATTTCATAAGCTTTTTGAGAAAATTTTGTTATTCAATTAAACCTCATGGTATTAATGCACTAATTCAATCTTTAATGTGGTCAGCATTCACAAATCACAACTCTTAACAATGGTATGGCGATCCATGCTGGCAGGCATCTGGGGGCCTGGGGCTATTGTTTGAATTCTGCTCTCGTATGCACAAACTGCTGGTACAAAACCTCCACTCTTCTATGCCTTTTATGATTGCTCAATTCACAAATATGGAAATGAGATTTGAAAATAAAAAAGCTGCTGGACATTCATAAAAGAATGAAATATATTAGATTACAACACAGTTGCCCTGTCTGGCCTTTTTCTATACTCACAGATATACTTTACACAAATAAATATTTCACATTAACTGACTAAAAGCAAGGATGTGGCTCATGCACCCCAGAAGAAGACTGCAATCAAATTCCTAGAAGCCAGTTCCAACGTGTAACTATATCAGAATTCAGTTAATATCCGCACCTATATTGATACTCAGTAACTCCATTTTCAATCCAATATTAGGTTAGTGTGTGAGATTAGCTTCTTATATATACACACACAGGCAGCAAGGCCCCTTTTCACTCACCATTCGACAAATCGACTGCCTAGATACAGTATTAGTCAGATGTGAATTATAAAGTATAAGGCATACCATTTACCACACCAAGACATATCTAGGTAAGGTCAGGTTTCTCACAGAATAAGGGATCCATCCTCAAATTCATCCTCCTATATCTTTCCTCTTTCTGCTAGATTTACTTCTCAGCTTGGATAAGTCAGTCAAATCAGAACTTGGAGTCTTTGGGACAGGCTTACTGGATTTTGTGTTATTAGTGGAATCTTTAGTCGTTGAATTATCTTTATTGTACATGCTGCCATGCTCTGAAATTTCTGTAGAAGGAGATAAGGCAGAAGGCTTCTCATAAATAATAGCAGCATCCAGGGTGTACATGCAAAGAGCAAGGGAGGATATCGTTGCTACTTTAGCTGCAGCAGAGAGTGAAGACCAGTACCACCATCCGTTCCTCAAGTAATCAGTTTTAATCATGTCCTCAAATACAATGGTCGCTTGAACCATCTGAAAGGAAAAAGGAAAAGAAAATAAAGTGAATTTCCACTTATTTACTCAATTCAATGAAACAGAAAGCCAGGAGTTAAGGTAGCAAAGAAGTAATGCAAGCAAGGTTACTATATTTTCAATTCAGCATAGTTTCTCCATTATTATTCTATCTGTTTCTTGTAGTTTGACAAAAGTGAAAGAAAAAATTTCGGTAACCGAAAAATTTCCACACAGTAAGCTTGTCTGACACAAAGAATTAAAAAGGGGACAAGACAATCGTTTTTAGTGAAAGTCATCATCGTTCATAAATATCATCCAAAAAGAATATAATTTTCTTTTTGAAATTCTAGTGAGTTTCATTTCGAAGACATTCTTGAATCTTTACCAGAAATTCAGGACTCGAAGGTAACTATGTCATTATCTAGTCAAAACAAACTAATCTATAAGGCACATCAATTATTGAGAGCTGATTTTTAGCATTTTTAGTATATGTTTTGGTCATATAAAATCTGATGAAATCCAATGCAGAACAAAACTAAAAGAAAGAAAGAAAGAAAAAGATAAAAAGATGTAGGAACCAGAGTAAGAGAGCTTCTCTGATATTTGCATTTTCAGGTAACTTCGGGAGTTTATGAGCAAACACTTAATGACACTTTTGACACAGGGTATTTCAAAGTAGAGTAAATTAAAAAGACCTCAAATATCGACTTGGCAGATTTGACAAACGCACGCCAGGCACATCTTTTCTTCCAGGAAGCCTTTGAAGATCTCAATGCTTCTTCTGGGACAGCAGCATCCATGTCAAGCAAGTTGATTTTGAGATGCCTAAGAATTTCAATACCCCTTCCCATGACAGGTCGAAACGAACAATCATGAATAATAGAGTAGTTAGCAATCCCCAGTTTTGAACTTCTATACTTCAGAGAAGATTGCTCTCCTCTATCATTCAATAAATTTGGATTTAGTCTTCTACTTTTCAACACTTCCTCATCATTGCCACTCACAATTCTTGTGGTTGAGTTCTTCAACACACTTCCGTGATTCACACAGGATTTCAAGTTCCCTGGCACTGAAAGTTGCAACTGATTGTCCACATTTATAGACTTATCACTTTTACTAACCTCATTTCTACACAACTGAACTAATTTCAACGAGGGGTCACTCAGATATGGAGACGTGCTTGGCACAAATGATGGAACACCATTTAAACCAATAAGTCCTATTTCCTGAACCAAATCCTTAATGGAGTTTTTAGTAACAAACTTGGCACTTATCTCTTCAATGTCATATGGGCATGCCAACTCCTTTGGAAATTCAAACAATCCAAAGCCCATCTCATGCTTTACATTCCCAGACATACCATTTCCCACTTTTTTCGTGTTCTCTCTCTGTAAAGTCTGAGTTCTTGCCAACCTCTTCCCTCCTGTTGCATCATTATCTGCTTTCTTCTGAGAGGAAGTTGCACCCGGATTACACATGCTGTCATTATGCTCCTTGAGTTCACACCTAGAAGAAAATGACAGATGGCAACAGCAGCAGTGGAATCTAGAAGGCCATACAGGTTCTAGGCAATCACATCGGTACATTCTCTCATTGTGAATTAATTCAGCATTCTGATCCTGCTTCACAGAGATTTTGGAGGTTTCTAGTTCCAAGCAAGGACCATGCTTCTTCTCCAGTACAGTCAAAGCCTTAGTCACAAGATCATTAGAATTTACGGTTACTTCACTATTTTTGTCCTTCGAAGAACTAGGTAGATTCTCATCCTGAACACAATTTCCTGCTTTATCAGAGTCCTTATTTCCAATCTTTTGCCACTGCAAAATAGACTCTGCTACCTCTCTATCTCTTGGGTCACTATCTGCCAACCATTCAATAAGTTCTTCAATTTCTGCACTAGATTGATAAGAAAACCATGAAGAAGGAGACAGCATGCCACTATTCTCCATTCCATATGGAGAATAACATCTCAAAAATGAATTATCAGCTAATGAAGTCCCATGCCCTTTTACTAAGCTCTTTTGCTGTAACATTGTCCTTCCCTCAACCAGCAGCCAAGGAGATGTAGATGGCCTGGAGAAGGCCCAATAGAGTCGTCCAGCAGAGTCTCTCCCCAACAATTCCTTCCGCAGAGATACTGCCTGTAGTTGTGATTCTAGACAGGCAATTGATTCCTGCAAGACAGCAATCTCTTTCCTAAGTAGGTTCACTTTGAGATCATGAGCTTGTAATTCATTCATGTCATGTTGAGCAATGCTATGATGGTCAGGAAACTGATCTTCAGAGATCGTATGCATAGCATGTATAGGGTCAGCCACATGGTTTCTGATTGTGTCTGATGAAACATTGCCGTGTGGAACTTCACTACTAGACAGCATAGGACTATCATAATCACCCTTTTGTAACTCCTGCCCTCTGTAGAAGTTACTCCAGCCAGCCTCTTTTACTGTAGAGTCATGTGTTGGTGGTTGAGGAGCAGGAATGGGCAATTCATTTTGTTGATTATCAATTCTTAAACTGTTATCCAACTTTTGCTGTACATGAAGCCCATAACAAGGAGCCTTTCCAGTTAGATTTCCAATACAATTAGGCTTTCTTACTGAAGTTCCTTTTGAATAAAACCAACTAGGTTGTTTCCAAAAATCATTTGCCCTGTACATTTGCCGACCATCCTCTGGTACCAGATCACTGGGTAAGGATGAAAAATAG